CCCCCCCACCAGCCCCAAATCCAAAACCCATAACCCAAACTAACGCAAACCAAAAAAAAAGTCCCACCCCAACCCACCGCCAAAATCCTCACCACAGCCCCAGATCCCACCACCCCCTCCCTAACCTACAGCATCACCATCCCCAGCACCAACACCAGCACCCTCAACCCCTCCGAAGATCCCCCAAGGGGGTCCGGACCAATCTACCTCCGCCTCACCGCCCCGACAACCATGCAATGGATCTCCCTCGGCCAGGGGCCCGACATGGCCACCGCCAACATCTTCATCGTGTACGCCGCCTCCGCCACGAGCGTCACGCTCTCCCCGCGGTCCGGGGGCCAGGGCCAGCCGCGGTATAATCCCGCGGCGAATGTTACGCTGCTCGAGGGGTCGGGGATCGTGGATGGGATGATGGTCGCGGAGGTGCGGTGTGAGGATTGTTGGGGGAGCTGGCCTGCTCTGCCTACTGGTGGTGGTGATGGGGTGGGGGAGGGGGGGGAGGTCAGGGATGGGGCTGGGACTGCGATTGGGGCTGGGAATGCGACTGCTGCGGCTGCGACTGGGGCTACTGCTGGTGGTGGGTTCGTGATGGATCCGAACGGGAATGAGACGGCGTGGTTCTGGGCGTATCAGCTGGGTGCGCCGCTGAACAGTGATGATGTCGGGGCGGAGTTGGGGATGCATGATGTTAAGGGGGAGATGGTGTGGGATTTGAGGGAGGCGCGGTTTGAGGTTGGTACTGGGGACGACGAGTTGGTGGAGGGGTCTGATCCTTTTATTTGAGGGGGTGGGGATATCACTAGATGAGGTTGGGGTTCGGTGACATTGCACGAGTAAGGGTTTGGCACGGGTGGAGATTATATTGAGGTCATAAGCATGCAGAAAGAGGAATGTGGGATTGAAAATTGAGGTCGAAACCTGGGTACGCAAGCGAGATCTAAATACTCATTATAAGCGAAACAGGAACTGCTTAACCCATTAGTATCCAAGAAATGCACAAGAAGCGTAGACTATAAACATGCCATGACCCCGATGCGACTGACCATCCACAACGCCATCCTTGGGAAGGCACCTGCAATTACTCCTGACCCTCCCCAAACTGCCGCGTCCACTCCTCCCTCCCCATCTTCTGCCCAAACGCCCCCGTCATCCGATCGAACCGCCACCGATAAACCGGCCACACCACCGAAGCCACCACCCCCATCACCCAATCCCTCACCGGCCGATCGCGCGGACTCGGCCCGCGCATGTTATTCAACAGCAGCTCCGTCTCCCCGTCGACCGTGATGTACCCCTGGCCCGCACGAAGCCCCCGCAGCGTCAACTCCGCCACTTTAGCCGCCGTCAACCCGCCCTTGTTGTCCGCCGACCCCTCCATCTCTTTCAACAGGTGGGGCTTGCGGATCTGCTCTTCATAGAACGCATCCGTGTAGATCGTGCCCGGGAAGCTGCAGTGCACGCGGATGTCCTGCTGCGCACGATACAATAACACCTCCGACCGCAGGGTGTCGGCCAGCGCGCGCGTGGCGGCTTTCGTCGGGGTGTAGGCGGCGTAGCCCGGGAAGCCGAGGAAGGCGGCCGTCGAGGCGGTGAAGATGAGGTGGCGTTTGGTTTGGCTGTTGGTGGGGGGCTCCTGCAGCCAGCGCCGGAGGCAGGCATGCGCGATGTATGCGGCGGCGAAGTAGTTCTGGTCCATGCAGGATTTGATTTCTTCGGGGGTGATGTTGGCGAAGAAGCCGACTTGGGCGGCGGTGCCGCCGGCGACGATGAAGAGGATGGATGGTGGGGTGGGCTGGGAGGCGATGAATTCTTGGACCTTTTGGGAAATGTAAGTGTGTACGAAGCAATGATGAGTAGGGCTGAGGCAGGCTTACCTGTTTCGGATCTGTCAGATCGACGGCGGCGGCGCTGATGACCTGATCCGGCGACTGCGTGTGGGAGAGCAGCTCTTTACGGGTCTCCTCGAGTGGGCCGGGGCTTCGGGCTAGGATGGTGACATGGGCGCCTGCATGCGGTGGGGCGCACGTTAGTGGCTGGCTTCGTGGGAGCTTGATCTGATGTCAATCTTCCGGAGAAAACATGCCTTGGGTGGTGAGTTGGATGGCAAGTTCGCGGCCTAGACCCTTTGATCCACCGGCGATGACGACGGTCTGCATGCATGTTAGACGGGGCTCGCTGTCACTGTGGGGGAGTGGGTGCCGACGGACCTGGCCTTGGACGTGAAAGTGCTTGCTTTGCGTCATGGTGTCACTTTTACACGCAGTCTGGGGATGTCTAGTGGACTGGGTGAAGAATGTACTGCACTATGGTTCAGTGCCGGAGGGTAAACAAGATATGATTCAGGGGTATTTTGCAGAACCATGGGATGATCGGGCTGGGATCTTCTGCATGACTAGTGCTTATCGCCCGGCGGAGTATCGTATTTCCGGCCTCAGCCGTGCTCGACGATCATTCCATATTCTACCCATCAGGAGTGAGGATCACGAGATAAATATCTGACATCAATATGACAGGATGATGCTCGTGGAATGCAAAGAAAACTTGATATGTCGGAATGTGCAGCCCTGTCAAACCCCTAGGCTTCTCATCCTGTGCCTGCGGCAATTGAACCCGGGAGCAGCATTATCGCGATCATCAATGATTAGCCGTGGCGGGCCGCGCCAGCGAAGAACCTGTGGGGCCACCGGGGGGTTTTGCCCTTGGTTCCATCTTGCCCTCTGGCTGGCCAGCTCTGGCGAACGCCTCCAGTGGGTCAGGAAGCTGCCGAAGTCGAATCGGAGATTGGAATCGTCGATAGTGTCGGATGTATGCCCCTTAGACTCATGCGTCATAGGACAGATAAAAAATAGACTCTGATAGGGGAGCGGAAGCGAGGAAAAAGGAAAATAAGCGATGATCATGCTCGTTAGGCACGAGAATCTGCAGCTGTCCGCATGGATCCGCGGCAGCTGAACTGTGGGTCTGTGGTCGTGGGACCTGCCTTTGCTGTCTTGTCCGAGTAGATATATGAGCGTGGTTGCCTTCTGGAAGCGCAATTTGGTGAAAAATCGGGTCCACATATTTTGTGTGTGATTGACTGAAACGCAGGATGGCGTCGTCTCCCTTCATCATAACAGAGCACATCGTCGGGTGCCAGCATGTCCGCGAATACCCTCATGCGACGAGACACGGTGATGATGCGCTGCAGCTGGTGGTGAAGCGGTACACTCCCAAGTCGAACCCGGATCCCCAGCCGGGAGATGTCACAATCGTTGGTGCGCATGCGAGTGGGATGCCCAAGGTCTGTGGCCTCTGAGGTAGATGTTGCGCTCATTAGCCTGGCAAGACACTAACCTCAAGAATAGGAACTGTACGAACCACTATGGGAAGAGACCCTCGCGAAACTCGAGCATCAGGGTGTCCGGATCCGCTCTATCTGGGTCGCAGATACGGCAAGTCAGGCCGCCAGCGGGCTGTTGAACCGACAAAATCTAGGCAATGACCGTAAGCAGCGCCTCATAACGACAATCCTCCCCTATATTAACTCAACTACAGCATCCTGGTTCGATCACGCCCGAGACCTGCTGCATGTAATCAATACCTTCAAGGCCGAGATGCCGCGACCGATCATCGGCGTGGGACACAGTCTCGGCGCCGGACAACTGTAATTTTCTCCCTCCCAACCCGAAATACCGAACAGCAATAACCGTCAACTCAGAATTTTATTATCCTTAATGCACCCCCGCCTCCTCACCTCCCTCATCCTCATTGACCCCGTGCTGGCCCCAGATGTTCTCACCGGCAAAGGCGCCGCCTTCGCCCGCGCCTCCCTCTCCGCCCCCGACAAGTGGGCCACCCGCGCCGCCGCCACGACATTTCTGAAGAAACAGTATCGCAAATGGGATCCGCGGGCGTTCGATCGCTTGCTGCAATACGGCCTAGTCGACACCCCTTCAGAGGTCAGTCTCACCACCTCGCGCCACCAGGAGGTGATACAGTACCTTCGTGCCAATTTCTCGGGCCGCAAGCCCTTAGATCCGGCGAATGAGTCAGAGGCGCATGATGCGGTGTTCCATGCGGATGTCATCGGTCCCGCGCACGCGATCGCCCCGTTTTATCGGTACGAGCCCATCCTGGCGTTCAAGCTGCTGAAGCATGTGCGACCGTCTGTGTTGTATGTCTTTGGTGAGAGGAGTCCGATTTCGACGCCAGAGATGCGGGCGGAGAAGGTGGAGCGGACGGGGCGGGGCATCGGGGGAAGTGGTGGGCGTTTGCGGGGGAGAGTGAGGGAGGTTGTTGTTCCGGTTGTCGGGCATCAGGTTCCGTTTGAGGATGTAGGTGGTGTGGCGGTTGCGATGGCGGAGTGGCTGGGGATGGAGGTTAGGAGGTGGAAGCTGGATGAGCAGAGGATACAGCAGGATTGGGAGGAACGGTCGGTGGAGGCAAGGGTGACTTTGTCTGAGGAGTGGGAGACTCGGCTGAAAGATTCTTTGAAGAGGAAGGACAAGACTTTTAGGGCGAAGCTATGAGATACCTTTCGATGATGAGTGAGGGAGAAGGGAGTAAATAGGAGCTGGCTTATAGAGTACTGTTGGATAGATCATGTCATGCTTAGCAAAAAGTCGGGAGTATAAAGGCGCTGACAAGGCTTGATTATGGCAATGTTGTTATCATTCATTCACTCTGCGCAATTTAATTTTGACTGAAGGTGTGTTTCTCCCCCATAAGTTCCTTTTCATCCTTCGAAGCCCGTCCTTACATTTTGACACAGTCACCTCACTCCTTGCCTTCCGTACTTTAGTCTCTGGACTCATCACCAGAAGACTTTTCAACTCACTCGTTCCAACACACAGCAACCCTTCGCCCGAAAGCCCGTCCGCGAGTGTTTGGATTGCTCTGACGCCACCATGGGTCTCTCCAGATTATCCCCCGAGCTCATTCTCATGGTCGCAGAAAGCCTCGACTCGGAAAAAGCGACGGAAAAAGCGATCAACCCTCTGACTCGAATAAATCGATTCTTCTACTCCCTGTTGAATCCCTTTCTCTACCGCTACCATGCCCGAAACGACGTTGAGCTCTCTGCTTTACAGCATGCCGCAAGACGGGACCTCCCAGGGGTGATTGAACACCTTGTCGATGCTGGTGTTAGTCTCCACAGTCGGGAAGCATGGTTTGGCTATTCGTTCTACAGAAGGCCTAAGTACGACCACCCGATTGTCTTAGCTGCAAATTCAGACCACGCCAATGTCATGGAGACGCTGTTGGACAAAGAAGAACTGACTAGCGGGCTCACCGAAAGACACTTCTCTGATATGATGTACTGGGCAGTGCAGGACAACCAGGCCAAAGCAGTGAAGGTGCTGCTGGACCGAAAAGTGACGGATCCATGGACCGATGATCCTATCATCGCCAGCGCTGCAGAACGCGGCCGCGTTGATATTGTGAATCTACTGCTGAAAGATGCAGATGAACGGATAAAAACAGGCCTCCTGTCTGAAACCCTTCGGCAACGAGGAATAGACGAGGCGTTGCTTCAAGGGATAGGAACACAGAATCCTAAAAACATACTCACACTATTGCTGAAGGCGGGGGCTGATGTCAATTTCGTTGCTAAGTGGGGGCGTATCCATCTCGTTCCTCTCGGAGAAGCTGCGCACTACAAACATGTGGGTGCTGTGAAGCTTCTCCTTGAGGCCGGGGCAGACCCCAATCTTATGAAAAACCGAAAGTGGGGACCACTTGCGCGCGCAATACAACCCTGGCATGGTGATATCACTTACTCATGGGACCCCCCCGGGCACGAGTTAGAAGATCCTAGCCGACAACCATTACCTCGTCCAATGTCACCCTCCGTCAGGGAGATCTTCCGTCTCCTTTTTGAGTATAGAGCGAAACCATCTCGAGCTGGGGGTAGCTGGGCACTGCACCGTGCTGTGGTTTATCAATGTTATGAGGCGGCACACCTGTTGATCGACAAGGGTGCTCAAATCACTCCGTCCCATGTCAACGATTCTCAGCAAGCGGCCTTGAACCAAGCGGTAGCGGATCGCGACTTTGAAGCTATCAAGGCTCTAGTGCCCAAAGAGTGGTCTACAGATGCCTAGGCGGGACTTCCGAGCTCGAGGCTCCAGACTTCCAGGTTTCAACATGTATGTGAATGGTACAAGACCTGTTCCTCATTTGTGTTTCAAGCCTGAGATCGTAGTCTTAAGAGACCCAGAGAATTTAGCATAAAGCCATCAAGAACTAGCTGCAGTATCAGGTACACAACCTTCAGACTGATAATCCTTGAAACCAACTTGAGGAAAGTAAGAGCCATTGCTTACATATGATAAAATTTTGACAGAGTCACTAATAGACAGGGTGGTTTATGTCTTTACTCATCTTGCGCTGTCAGCCGCGTGTATCCCGTGATCTGACCAATCTGAGGAGTAATGATATTTCACTCCTTTCCAAAAAGAATTCGACTAAAGTTGCTAATATACAAAGCTATCAACTTCTGAACTTATCTGGCTCTTTTTCAAAAGTGTGCATTCATGTGATCTAGTCTTCATTCACTCAAGCAAAATGTCTACTGAAAGCGTAGACATTTGCACAAAAGAACACATACTCAGATATCCACAGTTCTTACATCTTATTTCTTACGTTCTCCTGTGATCTTCGTCCCACACTTACTTACCTTAAGTTAATATACCAGGAGGATCTTCAACCCATAAACCGAGCCTACAACGAGATTGCCTTCACCCTCGAAATAGAGAAATATGAGTCTTTTAAAGCTACCCCCCGAGATATTCCTGATGGTTGTGGAGAGCCTGTCATCGGAATAGATGATCAACTCCCTCGCACGAACCTGTCGATCACTTTTCTCCTAGCTAGACCCATTCCTTTATTGCTATCATTCGATCAGGTGAAGTCTCTGCTTGGAATCATGAGGCTACAAGCAACCATCCTGAGGTCGTCAAAAAGCTTCTTTATGTTGGTGCAGATCTCTACGACAGCACGAGTCAGAGCTCTATATCTGTCCTCAGCCCAACCACCCCGTTATTATCGCAACGATCCACAACCACCCCGCGATGCTGGAGACCGTATTGGACGAAGACACCGGAGGAGGGATGATCCACAGAATGAGTGGAGGTATTTACGCAGTCATGCTGCGGTTCGCCATCTGGAACAACGCGGTAGGAGTGGTTTGCATGCTATTGTTTGGTAAGATGAGATATTTGTACAACAAGCGCGAGCCGAGATCCATCTTCCCCCGCGCGATCGCTGCAATCGGGGGCCACGCAGAGATTGTTGCGACGCTCCGGCAAGAGTCCACCGAGCGCGTCAAGTCGGGTCTCCTCTTTCCAATCACCCAGCATCGCGAGATTATCGCCGCGCTTCTCGACGCCATGCGCAGCACGGACCCGGACGCCACCGTCGCACTGTTGCCGCGGGCCGGCGCGGACGTCAACGCCCCGAACAGCTGGGACATACATAACCCCCTTGATGCGGGCGGTTACTACGAGAGACATATCATGGAAGAATTTGATAACACAAGTATGCAGTGCTCATGATCATTATCATCACTTGAAGACTGTACTGTAATCCATCCCCACCACCAACCCCCAAAACACCCCTAAGGAAACGGATCATACGCCCCCTCCCCCCAACAAGCGCCCTGCACCTCATCGCCCATGACATCCACCTCCGCAATCCCCTGCGCCCCAAACCTCTTAATGACCCCACCCCCCACGGCCTCAGCATCAAACGCAGCCCACCCCATCCCCTCCAATCCATGCAGCGGATCCCTCGCAAACGCCAACAAATAATCCTGCATCACCTGACTAGTCCGCATCTCCTCCCCCGTCGTCTCATTGCCACGCACAATCCCAAACGTTCCAAAATTCATCGTCAAATCACTCGAATGATACGCCCCCATCCACCCGAGGGGACTCACATTGCTAAAATTCCCCGCAAACTGATACCGATACGTCTTCAGCCCCGCGCGCTGCCGCACCACGCTCGTGTTCGCACTGACGCACAGCCAATCGCGCAGCGTCACCGCATCCACCCCCTCCTGCCACGGCCCCGCCGTCAGATTACTGCTGGGGAAAGGGTAGAGCGGGGCGGCCTCGTTCGCGCAGTTCGAGACGATGGCGGGGGTCTTGGCGATGAGTCCCTTGGCCGCGCGCGCCGGGTAGTCGGCAAAGATGATCTTCTCGTCCGCGACGGGGGCGAAGGTCATGGTGGGGACGGTCTTGGCGTCGCCGTAGCGGCCGATGAAATTCTGGATCGTGTCGATGGGGACCTGGCGCATGCACTCGAGTTCCTTGTGCGGGTGGTCGGGGAAATCGCACCCGAGGTGTCGGGCCACGAAGGTGAAGTTCGAGTGGCTGGTGTCGACGCTGGGGGTGGTCTTGAGGGCGGTCCCGGACTGCGAGATGGTGGCGCGCGCCAGCAGGTCGGTGTGGAAGGCGTAGGTGTGGTAGTCGACGCTCATGGCGCCGGCGGATTGGCCCCAGAGCGTGATGGCCGACGGGTCGCCGCCGAACTCGCGGATGTGCGCGTGCACCCACTCCAGGGCGGCGCGCTGGTCGAGGATCCCCAGGTTCTGGTCTTCGAGGGCAGCGGCGTTGGGGAAGCCCATGATGTTGAGGCGGTAGTTGGTCGTCACCACGATGTGGTCTTGGGTGCGGTTGACCCAGGCGGCTGGCAGCTGGTAGGGGACGCGGATCCCGCCGGTGCGGAATTGGCCCCCGCTGTAGAAGACGAGCACGGGCAGGTTGGAGGCCGCGGTCGCGTTGGCGGGCGTCCAGATGGCCAGGTGCAGGCAGTCTTCGGCGCTGTGCTGGGCCATCGCCCCGGCGGTGGAGTTCTGGTCGGGCGCGTTGGAGATGAGGAAGTCCGGGACCAGGGTGCCGAAGACGGAGGGGCCCCGGTACACGTACTGCGAGCAGGCGGGCGGGAATTGCGTGGCATTGTGGTGTTGGTTGGAGGCCGGGAGCGGATGAGGGGGCTGCCAGCGCCGGGAGCCTACGGGGGGTTGGGCGTAGGGGATGGCCCGGAATTCACGCACGGAGGGGTAGGAAGGGTTGTAGAGGCCGGTGTAACTGCCCGTGCTGGTGTGCACGGTCAATGCATCGTCACTGTGCTGGGAGGTTGCCGTCACGCTTTGCGCGGGTAGCAGCAGCAGCAGCGATGCGGACAATAACGGGACTCTCATTTTTCACGGGTGAGAAGTAATTTGGTGGCTGCAGCTACTTCGAAGGTTCTCGGAGAGTGCAGGCGGCCCTGCATGAACGGTATCAGGCCTGGATATTTAATCAATGTCCGGGGTTAGGCCGGCCCTCCGCAATATGCGGAGTCATTTCCCCCGGTTCCCCATGATTCGGTGACAGCTGCAGCTGGCACTCTCATTGCCGAACTTTCTGTCCGAGATGGATTCGGTGGCTTGTCGTCTGGAGTCGAAAGAGTTAGGGCGCAGTCGGCTGCACCTCGGGTGGTCGGATTTTCCGAGCAGCAGTGCAGCGTCCCTGGATCGATGTAACCCTTCGATAACGGGATCCTTTTATGAGGAGCTGCAAGACGGCCCGTCTCAGGCGAAGGCTTTCGTTTCCGCCTTGCACCGGTCTATAGGGAGGGTTGATTGGCTGTGTCGCTTTGTCACTGGGGAAGACATTATGATCGCTACGTATTGCATCACCTGCCAAGAATCTGATTAGGGTCCTCGGCATAATACAGTCCGGCACGTGGAGGAGCCGATAAGATAGTTAACGCCTTCCCTACTGTAGCTTAGTACTCAAATAAAACTAGAGCAACTCCATGCCTCAGACTGTGGGCAAAGGCTCTGTCTCTCGATAGTAGCGAGACTATCGATTCCACTACATGAGTCCGACGTCCAAGACAGGAATAGGACTACGTATTCATGCTCCGTCCGGAACTTCCTTCGTCCATCCGCCGAATGTTCCGCTTAGTCCTATAGGCATTGGAGTCGATCAACGTCAAAACAAGTAACGATCACCCGGTGATCTCATTCCCGTTGTTCTCGCAAGTTCTCTCCTGCCAAGCACTGAGCCCAGCAAACGGAAACCCAAGCCGCCCAGCCGTCATGAACAGGGGTTGTCATTATCTGGACACCAGACCAGATCTCGTACAAAGCAAAGTCATGAGCACTCACTCACTATACGAGCCAATCTCCACGATTAATTAGACCGGTGGACAATACTAAGTACAAGTAATAAAAAAAAGCGTTTGCCTACGGGCTCCGGAGGCCATCCGGCATATTCTCCGTCTTGGCCCCAGACCGTTCTTTTTCTTTGCAGAAACTCGGGATTTCCGAACGGCGCTAACGCAGGCTTGCAGCACGCCGTTTATTCCTATTCGGGCAAGGATCTGATCATCCGCGGCCCGGTGTTTCCAGTGGTAGGAGTATGCCCTAAGACTATTTACTTCATACTGCATAGTGAAACGTGCATGCTGTCATCCAGGCTCTATGTTTTACTGCATTCCTTGGCAAGTGGGCATGGTGGTTCCCGGTGCAGCAGGTACCTCCCAGCGGGTTGTGAGTACAGATTCGCAATGCTGATCTCTGCTGGCTATCTCGGTTTCTCGACGTGCTCCACTGCCTGCGATCGTTGCAGCCATGTATAAATACCTGCCTTGATGCCGATCAAATAGGGTTTGTAGATTACCATCCTCTCTTTCACTCTCCACTCATTTTCTAGAGAAACCTAGCCCACCATGCGGTTGCACGCCGGAGCCCTCCTACTCTCCAGTCTGAGCCAGGCGCTGGCCCGCCCAGCCAGTCGCGACACCTCGTCTCTGATCGTCGAGGACGCCCCCGATCACGTCCGCCCCTACGTGATCCGGCACTACTCCCACGCGCGGGCCGTGACCGTGGGCACGCAGCTGTACCGGTTCTACGTGACCGGCCCATCCTCGGGGTACGCCTTCACCCTGATGGGCACCAACGCGCCGCACAGCGACGCGCTGGGCGTGCTCCCACACATCCACCAGAAGCACTACGAGAACTTCTACTGCAACAAGGGCAGCTTCCAGCTGTGGGCGCAGAGCGGCAACGACACGCAACAGACGCGGCTGCTGTCCGCCGGGGACTACGGCAGCGTGCCGCGCAACGTGACGCATACATTCCAGATCCAGGACCCGGACACCGAGATGATGGGGGTGATTGTCCCTGGTGGGTTTGAGTGAGTCCATCCCCCGACCCCGCTTTGCCCCTCCCACCGCATAGCCTAACGAATACATTGAAGGGACCTATTCTACTACCTCGGCACCAACGCAACCGACACAACGCACACCCCGTACATCCCTTCGTCCAGCGACAGCTCCTCGACCACGGGCCCCGACTCCACGACCATCACAACCCTCGAATCCTTCGACGTCTACGCCAAACTCGCCTTCACCCCGCGCTCCGACGCCGTGAACGGCACCGCCCCCGCCAACACGGCCTGGCACAACGGCGCCAACGCCCTCGCCTCCACCGCCGGCGAGCCCTACTTCGTCGCCAACGGCTGGGGCCCCAAATACCTCAACTCGCAGTACGGGTACCAGATCGTCGCGCCCTTCGTCACGGCCACCCAGGCCCAGGATACCAACTACACCCTCTCCACGATCTCGATGAGCACCGTCCCGAGCACTGTGACGGTGCCCACGTGGTCGTTCCCGGGCGCCTGTGCGTTCCAGGTCCAGGAGGGACGGGTCGTGGTGCAGATCGGGGAGTATGCTGCTACGGAGCTGGGGAGTGGCGATGTCGCGTTCATCCCTGGGGGTGTGGAGTTTAAGTATCACAGTGAGGCGTATTTCAGTAAGGTGTTGTTTGTGAGTTCGGGGAGTGACGGGTTGGATCAGGTTTTGGTGGATGGCGGGGAGGAGTGGAGCTCGGTCAGCTTTCCGGCCGATTGGTAGGGTTTGTTTTTGGTTTTAGAGGCGGGGGGCGGCGGTTATAGATCTTATTGTATTATCTTCAGTCTTTTTTCTCGAGAAGTGTAAGCATGTATGTCACATATCACCAGGCCATGAAAAGACCAGCTGCTTTGATGAACACCTAGTATGATATGCAATCGTCAGAACAGATGAGATTGAAGATAATAACATCCTGGTAAGACGTTGGTAAACCACTGATCGCTTTATGATTGACATCGCAGTATGAGACATCATACTGATCTTATGCTAAAATCATGCTGCAAAGAGCTAAAATCAACAACAAGAAACATCCTCGATGGTCTAACGGTCATGATTTCCGCTTGTCAATCCCAGCTGGGAACAAGCGCGGGAGACCTAGGTTCGACTCCCAGTCGGGGAGATTCCTTTTTTTGTGATTTGCCGGAATAGTGTATCGTATGTATGCTGGCTGAGCATCGACACAAACATCAATTCTTTTTGTTCTCCGTGGTCGTTTCTGACCGAATAACAACACTGGCCAGGGCGAGACCTGTCTACAGCCATGTAGATCACCTGCTTCTCAGTTTATGCTCGGGCTCGTCGCCAATCTCCTCCATCTTCGCCTCCAACAGCCGTGTCATCCTCCCCACCACCTCCCGATACTCCGGTTCATGATAGATATTAAACAGCTCCAAGGGATCCTCCAGACAATCAAACAGCTCCCACTCCTTATACTCCTCCCCGCCGGGCCTGGCCCCCTCCACATCCAACGGCTCATTGTACCAGTAAATCAGCTTATACCGCTGATCGCGGACCCCATAATGGGCATACGCCTCATGGATGGCATCATTATGCATCCAATACCGATGGTACGCGACCTGCTGCCACCCGGCCGGCGGACTGCCCCGCAGCACCGCCCGAAAGCTCTTGCCCTGCATGTAACTCGGCTGCGCCACGCGCGCGAAGTCCAGAAACGTCGGCGCGAAGTCGACGTTACAGACGATGTCCTCGCCGACCGAGCCCGGCGCGATCTCGCGCGGGTACCGCACCAAGAACGGCATCTGGAAGCTCTCCTCGTACATGAAGCGCTTGTCGAACCAGCCGTGCTCCCCGAGGAAGAACCCCTGGTCCGAGGTGTACACCACGACCGTGTTCTCGGCCAGCCCGGGCTCGGCGTCCAGCGCATCCAGCAGCCGGCCCACGTTCTCGTCGACGCTGTGGATCGTGCGCAGGTACCGCTGCATGTACCGCTGGTACTTGAAGTCGGCTAGCTCGGCGGCCGTTTGGAACGTAAAGACCGTGCCGTCGTCGACGTCCACCAGCTTGAGGTTGCGGATCGCCTCCTCCGTCTCCGGGGCGGGCACCTTGCGCCGCCCGTCGAACATGCGCTCCCCGACCTGCCGCGCGCCGCCGTCGGGCTGCGCCAGCCCCAGATCGAAGTAGGTCATGTCCTCGGCGACGCGCATCTTGGCGGTCTGGGCGGCGCGCGCGCGGTGCTTGTACTCGTCCGAGTAGGTCGCGGGCACGCGGATGCGGTCGCGGTACAGGTGCTTGTGGCGCGGGTCGCACTCCCAGCTGCGGTGCGGGGCTTTGTGGTGGCACATGAGGAAGAACGGGCGCGCGCGGTCGCGGTTCCGGATGAAGGCGATGCTCTTGTCCGTGATCAGGTCCGTCGCGTACCCTTCCTCCGGGACGCCCGCGGCCGGCGTGTCGGGCCCGATGAACGTGGGGTCGAAGTACTCGCCCTGGCCCCGCAGGATGGACCAGTAGTCGAACCCCGTGGGCTCGTGGGGGTTCCCCTCGCCCAGGTGCCATTTCCCCACCATCGCCGTCTGGTATCCGCCGCTGCTGCGCAGGTGCTTGGCCACGTTGGGCAGGTGTTTGTTGATCTTCGAGGCCAGTGTCAGCACCCCGTTGACGTGGTTGTACGTGCCCGTCAGGATCGCCGCGCGCGACGGCGTGCAGATGCTGTTGGTCACGTAGCAGTGGTTGAGGCGCATGCCTTCGTGCGCGAGCCGGTCCAGGTGCGGCGTGTGGTTGATGTTGGCCCCGTAGCAGGAGATGGCCTTCGAGGCGTGGTCGTCGGCCATGATGAAGACGATGTTCGGGGGTGGTGGGGGCTTTTGTCGGATCGTCATTTTGATGGCCGAGGTGTCAACTGCTACAGATGAGAAGGTCAGGTGGGAGTGACGGGACGAAGTATTATTGAATTGTAATGACTGCCAGGATGAGCTGGACTATTTGAGTGGTCAGTTCTCGGGACTACTCCGATGTCGGGTCGTGCCAGCCCGTGCTTTGCGCAGCGAAAACGTCTTATCTGCGCTTGAGACGTGTGCCCTTGAGTAACAGCATGCATGGCATGGTACTCTGATTGGGAATAGGCGGGATGAGCAGTGGGCTGAACCAACGATGTACGAGCAAGGGATCTGGGGTAATCCGGCTCCACTATGGCGTTATGGCGGCGGATCTCTCATCCGACACGGGAACCATATCGGCCAACACCGTCTTGAATTGTTTCAGACAGTCCACTGAGCAGAAAATCAACTTTCGGATAATTGGGGCATATAAGACATAGTTAGTGAAGAGAACCTGCCACGCCATTGACTAAATGTGGCAGCATTTGTGACAAATTCACCTATGGGAAGGACATAACCAAGTCACTCAGAATTACAGGGTTCTCTGAAGCCACCTTGAATTGCAGAAATGTAATCAATTAACCACACAATAACCTAGAGTAGCACTGTCTTTCACACGAATTGAAAGATTCCCACCTAGAGATGTACGCCAACGGCTATGTTTTGCATCGAAGTAGACAGGTGACCATATCAGAAGAGAAGGAGCTTAGATAGCTGAAACATAGCGTACAGGAGACTATAATCTGATAGTCAGAAGCTTAAATGGATTAGGTCCTTGCAATGTCTTTATACTCAGAAGATTCAGATACTGCCTCTTAGATAAACCATATCCATGGTAACTAGAAGCAGCAACAATAGATCGCTGTACTGTACATTAGGTCTAAATCGACCAAAATATCCTACAAACAAAGTCATCTTCACGATCTCCTCCGCAACCAGAAAAGCCCCCCACAGCTCTACTGTGTACTGTACCCTGCAGCTGCACCGTCCTAACACAAAGACCCCCAAACACGTATCTACATCAGAAACCCCCTCCCAAAAGCCCTACTCACCTCCCTCCAACCTCCCCCTCCAGTACCGAATCCACCCCCTAAATCTCCTCCGGCGGCTTCGTAACATGCGTCAACTTATCCCTACTCCGAAAATCAGCCAAGCACACCCAACCATCCCCAGACCCTTAACCACCCCCTCTCCAAATCCCCACAGCCACGATCCGGAAAGCAAGGGGAAAGAAAACAAACCCATTCAACTTCTTCACCCACGCCCCAAACCCCGCATGGTCATAATCCTTCTCATTCCACATATCCTTATGATACACCACCTTCTCGCCACCACCACCACCGCCGGCGGACGGCTCCAGCCGCAGACTCACCAGACTGTCCACCACCTTGGACGCATGCACCCCGGCCACCGTGTACCGCTGGCGCTGCTTCCACACCAGCTCGTCGTCGGACGAGGCCACCACCTCGGTGGCCAGCGTCTCCGACCGCGCGAACAGCCGCGGGATCCCGTACCACTGGCCCGCGATCTTGTGGCGCGTGTCGCAGTAGCTGAGCGGGTCGTCGTAGACGGCTTGCTCAGCGTAGACCTGCATGTCGGCGGCGGCGGCGCTGCCGCTGTACAGATTCAGGATGTGGCGTTGGATGGCCTGGCGGGGTGGGGTCAGGGGCAGGGAGGCGGCCGGGTCCGGGGCGTAGGAGGGTTGGTGCGTGCTTGGGTCGAGGGGCGGGGTCGGGTGGGGTTCGACGGCGCGTTGCGCGGGGTGTGGGGTGGTTGTTGAGGGCATTTCGGCCGTATCGTTAATTGCCTGTGGAATTTGGGGCCGGGGGGATTGACTGAGATGGAAGGTAGGTATAGGGTTAGATGTGGGAGGAATGAGGGTTTGGTGGAGTTGCTGGCTGGTTTATGTATGGTATTTATGCTTTTGGCGGGAGCGGAGGAGGGGGGGGGGGGATGTCATGGTTGGATCAAGGGGTTGATTTGGTTCATGAAGTCATTCAACGGCAGGAAGTCAGGCCGCCACATTTTGTGGCTCGCGTTCTTGCATGAGAGGGGTGTATTACAATATGACAGTTTTTGGTGCCGAGTTGCAGTTTGCATGTCGTGTGGTCTATATCTACGATGGACAGGATGGTGACTGCTGATGCGCGATAGGGCTCTGAGTTAGGGCAAGAGTCCTCCGAGACAGGCCGCCGAGGGGGAGTTCAATACTGTACAGTACAATACCATCTTCACTCTTCTGCTCTAGTTTGTCCATTCCAACCTCCTCTGCTCAGCAGCCACCCCCCATTCTGCAGCATCTGGAACACCGCGTCGGGATCATACTTGCGCGCGACCTCACCAAGCCGCCGCATATTTTCCGCGCCGTAACCAGCCAGTGGATCCTGATCGCGCGCCGCATAGTTGGAGTACTTGTACGGGAGATACACCCCGTGTTCTTTGGCCGCTGCTTCCGCTGCGTCCACGATCGAGCGGATTGCCTGTCGGACTCGGTCTTCATCCTGTGCATGCTTCCAGTCGGCTCGCGCCAGGAACCCTATCACCATGTTAGCCACGTCCGAAGCCACAAGGGGACATAGGCGGCGGGAAGGACGTACATTGCTGGCCTACCGGCTCCAAGCCCAGCGGACTGTTAGCGGAGATCTGCATCGCCAGCGAGGACATTGGCTGGAAGACGGTGGTCAGAGTCAGCCCCTCGACGTCCTTCAGCGCTTCTACATGCTCTGCGTGGGCTTTCTCGATCGCGCGATAGACTTCCAGGCACGGTCGGCTGGACATGGTGCGGAATTCGTGACTATCCCGGGGAATCAGTATGTGCTGCTACATGAAAATGAAAAGAGCGTACAGGCTTGGTTCGGCCTCATTGACCGATGCGACAGCCTGCACGAGATCGTACACAGACCGCACCCCGGCGGGGACAAAGGTGGCGACGGAGGGGATATTGTAAAAAGGCTCGAAGACTGCAGGCCGTTCGATCGGGGCGCAGTAGACGTAGACAACGAGAATGAACTGGTCGGTCGCGTTCCAGATCAGAGTCGCCTTGTTGTCAGTCTCGATGGCTTGGTGGTATTGCATGAGTGCGTCCAGCAGTGGCTCGCTGGCGGTGGGCGGGTAGATCTGAACCTCCGCCCAGATCTGGTTGGGGATGGTTACCATGTCCATCCGAGTGACGATCCCTGGAATTCAGTCAGACGAGTTGATTTGAACCTTGAAGGCTCGAGTCACAAACCATAGTTGGGACCACCTCCTTTCAGTGCCCAGAAGAGATCGCTGTTTTCTTGCGCGTTGGCATTGACGATCCGGGAGTCGGCGAGAACGACCTGCCACCGGTCGGGTTAGGGTTGGGGGATGAGACAACGAGAAACATCAGATCCAGACCATACCTCGTAGTTGCACACGTTCATCGCGCCCATGCCATACTGACTGTTCTGGAATGATATCCCTCCTCCCAGCAGCAAACCCGACACACCCACATCTGGGACGCGGCCGCCGGCCACAACCACACCGTGCGCTTCTAGACCCCGGTAGACGTCCAGCCACCGCAGGCCCACGCCGATCTTGGCAACGTTCTTGTCATCCGACAGTTCGATCTGGTTGAAGTTACTCAGTGAAATGACCACGCCGCCCTCGTTGCTGGTGAACCCGGGGATCTGCAGCCGGCCCCCACCGCGGATGGAGAACTTCACGTGGAAGAATCGGCACAGAGCCAAAGCAGTCGCAACCTGTGGCGCCGATGACGGAGAGACGATCACTTGGGGCTGGAGCCAGCAATTGGTGGACCTGCGCTGATCGTTGAGTGCCCGATCGGGGGTCTGGTGGCTGATTGTCTGGTGCGGTGCACATACCAAGGCATTCGACGCTGGGACTCGTACCCACTGGCCCCTGGAGCCACGCTGTGGCCGGAGAAGCATAGATCAAACACTTGGGACACATAGGACCCTCTTTGCTGGTCGTTCTCGGCGTCAGGAAGGGCAGTGTACGCCGAGAGAACAGCCTCAAGCCGGCTGTGGCGCTCGACATCTAGCTGAGCAGCAGAGAGGATGGTAGCTGCGGTCGGAGTCATGGTGGCGGCGGCGGGAGAAACTCCGAGAGGGGTGTTGAATTCTGCATGCATAACGTGGGAACAGGGAGACGGAAGGAGTTTTAATCAAATCCAGAGTGTCTCGCCTTTCATGCCGAGGCGCCGTTTCCCATAGCCCCCTTGGCAAGTGGGGATTGTCACGGCACGACGTCGACGCTATCCCAGCCGGACCGTCGACGGACCGCAACTAAAACCCAATGCCGGCTCAATATGGACGGGAAGTTAAATGAAATGGGCGTTAGGGTCTCACCATTGACCCAGTAGGTCCCAGTATGACCCAGGATGACCCACTGTTGCGATTCCGCAAGCGATCCTTCAGGGCCTTTTGCAGGCTTGCACAAACCCCCTGCCCGCCCGCTCCTCCACGGTTCCCGCTCGGTCTTCTTCGTCTGTTTCTTTCCAGCCGTTTGTCGATGTGACTGATTCTCTGGATTCACAATTGCTGGTGAGCATGGAGAGCCTTCTGCACCCACGCAGTGATGGCAGCGGCACGTCGCATATGACCATTGCTGTGCGGGTTGTTGTGCTGGCTCTGGCGATTCCCACCACTTTGGTCTGTGTCTTGCGGGTTTGCTCTCCCTCTCCCTCTCCCCAGTTGACCCATCGCAGGACCCAGCCGGCTAAAGTGGTGACAGTTGTACCTGCGCAAGTTCGTGACCAAGCAATTTGGTCTGGATGACTGGCTCGTGCTCATCGCGCTGGTAAGTGGTGCAGAACATCGTCCGTGGCAACCTCATCAACCGACTGACATTGTCGACAAGATCGGGGTAGATTTATTTTCGGCGCTGGCATACACAATCACGTACTACGGGCTGGGAGAGCCGCTGCAAAATGTCTCCGCCGACCAGCTCGTGGTCTTTCTCACCGTCAGTTGCCCTCGAATGAAATTGCGATCGTTACTAAAAACCAAACCAGCTCGAATATGCCTCGCAGTGCGCCTACCTCGTCATCGCCGCCACCGTGAAAGCCAGTCTTCTCCTCTTCATCATGCGCCTGTTCCCCACCCGATTCGTCCACCTCGTCGGTCGCTGTCTGCTGGGCGTCATCGCCGCCTTCACCCTCTCCGGCACCCTGGCGCTGGTTTTCCAATGCCGGCCCGTGCAGGCGGCGTACGATAAAACCCTCACCCACGCCACCTGCTATACCCCGGAGACCTCCTACGCGATCCTCATGATGCAGGGCGTCGTAATGTTTGTGCTAGACGTGATCATCTTGATCCTGCCCATGAGGCCCATCTGGCAGTTGCAGATGCCCATGAAGAAGCGGCTTTTGGTGATTGGGCTGTTGTGCATTGGTGCGCCTTGCCCCTTTGCGGATCTTATACCCTGAGGCTAATTGACGGACGTGTAGGATTCACCGCATGTGTCGCGGCACTCGTGCGTTTCTCCACTCTCAAGTTCGCCAACGACACCACCAATTTTACCTGTAAGTGTCACACCCTCCCTTCCTCTGAGAAGACAGCTAACATTTCAGACTCGGCATCCATGTCCCTGATCTGGATGGAAATCGAGTTCAACCTTGGCCTCATGTCCGGGTCCTTATCCTCTCTGCGCAAGCTGTGGGGGCTCCGATCCCTGATTTCGAAAAGCCAGGACAGCCGGCACGGTGACTCGAGGCAGTCTACGGCCTTCGACCTGGTTCCGCGGAGCTGGGGCCACCGCGGGATCACGAAGAAGACGGAGATTCTGAGGGTGGTGGAGTCGAATGGGAGTCAGGAGCCGATTGCTGCGTCGTAGATTGTGCGGAGCACAGATGCACACAGTTGAGTACGTTCGCGGTTGGAAATGAGGAGTCATTGGTTGTGAAAAGTCCATTTGGTGTATTCGGTCCTTACGCAAGGATTCGGACCTAGTTTATGATACCCTACGAACTGATCTGTCCTTTCGTATGCTGTCTTCCCCCTTGAATGACCTCACGAGCAAGGGTGTTTGATAACTGCACCTATGGTTAAATATCCTAGCTATGCAGGCTTCGTCAACGACAGTTCAACGGAGACTCGTCAACCAAACCTTAGTAACATACCTTGGTGAGTCTGAGTGAGGCTTCACCTTTCTCATCACAACCCATGATTGGCATCCCTGGAACCGAAGCTCGGAGAACGGTCGGTCCTTGGCACCAAGGACATGTTCTGGTAATTTTCAGTCTGATTTCCAGTCTGATTAAGCCAGTGAGTTTGCCAACACTAAGGAAAAAGAATCGAGCATGCAACCAGGGCGCGGCTCAAGCCGCCAGCTGGGAGTAGTCAGTACTATTATTGTAGGTAGGCATCGAAACGGTACACTACGGGCCGAACCCGCGCCCTACGGCAGCCCCCCTCCGGCCTCGGGCCGGTCGGCAACTGGAGCCTGCCCCTCTTTTGTTCTGCCTGGTCATTTTCTGAGGGTCCTCGCAGCAGAGTTTCCCTCCTTTCTCGATTCTAGACTGTGTGAGTCACGAAGGTGAGCTGCACGAGCACAGGTTCCACTCTTGGGATCTTCGGCAACTGGTGAGCCTCCGGGTCGCGGATTGTACCCAGCAGGCAATTCATACTTTGGCTATTGAAACGATCGCGTGTAGACTCTATGAAAGTCTACTCCGGAGGCCTGCATCAAGAGAGGGGCCAGCATTCATGCATCCCAGCACCGAGTGATTGCTGCAGTTCCCCGAGGACTTTGTGATAACAAACGAGCAAAGGATCCCCGTTACGCTGGTGAGATCCTCGCGCATTGCACGGTCCTGCTGAAGTGCATTAGCGCCGTGTGGTATCTGGACGGCTGGAGCAAGCATATCATACTGGGGATTGTGGGGGCCTTGGGACTCGAGTTTCTGCCGTGGACTGAGTGGTCTTTGCTCTGCTTGAGGAGTCGGAAGACGTGAGAATCGTACAGCTGACGGGGTCGGTAGAGAGGATATAGCCTGCCGATAGAAGGATTGGTCTAATCAGGCGAAGTGCGATAAGGAAAATGAACCTCAGGCCGGAATTGAAGTTGGATTATCCTCGATATACATTCAGGGAAGATCAGATTCAGCGGCTGCAAGGCGGTCTACATGGTCCAATAGCGAACGTTGCTGGGAAGGCGAGCAAGGGTCTGGAACAACCGATCAAGTTATGGCAGGGCTTAATTGGACCTCCTCTAGGAGACTTGAATCGCAGTGAATTTAGAATCTCAAAGGATTCTTCTTCTATGACTTGGAAGATCAAAGGTTCTCACCAACCTCGGAATCATAAGCGGTGTGTTGAGGAACCATAACTCGTTTCCCATGAAGAAGGGACACAGGGGTGGACATCCATGCTACAGCACGGAAACATAGCAGGGCATGAGACCAAGAATGGACCCCGATATGTTGTGCTTGAATTATCTGAAGTGATAATTAGCAAGGAGGTGGGGCAAAAAGACGCCATAGTTAAAGGCTGTAGCAAAAATGGCATCCAGATTGTGTCGCTAGGAGCTCAAGCGGGGTAATCGATGACTATGAGTTCCAGATGCCTTGTTCAAGAGGTCAAAGCGCAGACTACCTGGTAGGTACCTATGCTTAGCTTCTCAGCTGCAAGCACTACTAGGAACACGTCACAGATGGCGGCCAATGGCATATTGGGATGGATCAAGCTAACAAATAGACGCCGTGATACGATCGCCCCAAATATAGGTCGCTTAGGTAGCTGAGCCGCGATCCTTGCGGGGAACCACAAACAACCAAAGCATTCAGTACTCAACCGATATCTCAATCCAGCATAATGGAACATACGGGGCTATTTGAAGAATAAGTTTGGATTTCACACGTCAGGTGCTCGCTTTATTATTTCCTTCGGGAGGCAATCTTTCTATCGAGTACTCCGTGCAGAGTACTGGATCTCCTATTCGGTAAGTTAGATTCATGCGACCGCTCAAATCCTCACACGCACTAACCCTCACTAGGTATGGGATGGTAGGTACTTTTGAAAGAGACCGACCCACTCACAGCAATGACTTGTCCAGATCGTCAAATGAAAAGATTCTTTTGGGCTATCGATCACCTGCAATAGCCCCAATACAGGTAAAGAGGGACCGATCATGGATCACGAGTGGATGACCGGAGGAAAAAGCAATGCTTCCAAGGTTGTTTGCTTATATCGCCTCTTTTGCCGCGTGTCGGGCCGCAACACAGAACTCAACCACGGAGTAGTTCGCAGATAAGCACTAGAGATGCAGTTCAGTAGGTAGTTGCGTAGCTCCGTCGCCTCGCTCTAAGACCGGACTCGAGTTGGGGGTGGATGAAACCCCAACTGAACACTATCTCCTTGACTCGCGCGATCTTCGATCAAGGTCTCTCTGCCTCCATAATAGTAGCCTCATCTGGCGAATGGAGCTCACTGGCAATCTCAACATTGCCTAAGGCGCCGTCACCTAGCTCGGATGGTCAACTAGGCGTATTTGACTCTTATAAGGATAGAGTCAATTGGCATTGCCGTCGCCATCTGGAGCACATTTTATCGGTGTGCAGCATCCCTCTTGATGGGACACCATTGAAGATCAGCCATACAAGAACTACCGACGCCACGAAATATACCTGGACTAAGCGGGAGCTTGACCCCTCCGCCCCAGCTTCCCGAAATCGAGGTGTAGCGCTCATATGTGGCAGTTTCGGAGATTATAGAGTTAGCATATCAGGAAGTTAGTAAGTTCCCTCAAAACCTGCAGGACAAGCAGAGCTTCGTCGAACACGATGTCTGACTATATAAGCTTTGCATTCATGTTCATGTTGGAGATGTACCGACGTCTTCAAAAGCGTCCGGGGACCGCCGGTTTGTGCGAAAGAATCAAATGGACATGCAAGGGTCACCTTGAGTAGGTCTTCAATCTGAAGCCTGAAGCAGCATCTTCTGCTAAAGTGTGGATCGACGGCGAGATCATCGACGAAGATTATAGCAGTGACAGAGTCCCGGATGATGCTCTGGCAATCATGCCTTATCATATTATAAAGGCAACAGAATACCTGATGGTGTTTCAAGCCTCAACGGATATACAGTTTGTCTGTGAGACACTGGGAAGCCTGTGCAAGAAGTGGTTCCTCCAGTTGTATCAGACAAAGAACAGACGGACGCCCATCTGGCAGCACTTACAGGGTTCTGATGTTCCATACTATCGGCTGGGGGATCATGTGTGGATATGGAAGGCGCTGAAAGGCATCAAGGAAGTATTGATTAGGCTAGAATCTCAACACGATGACCCGGCAGCCATAGATACAAAAAGTGCAGTCCTCGGTGATTTTTTGAAGCTGCGAGAGCGAATGTTCACCCTGATGGCCGAGAAGCGCGGGAGACGTCAAGCCACCCCCGCAAATGAGCGCGAGCAGAACATCTATTTCAACTCAGAAGATCTACAGAAGGAGGGCATCAAGCGGTTCACCGTTCGAAACGAGGTCTTCAACAAACGCATGCTGAGTGTTACTCGCAGTGCCAACGAAACGCGGTTTCTGCTCCATTCGCGGGATACCGTACTGTACTACGGTGCCTTGTGGGGTTTCTTCGAGGACCAAGAAGACCTGCTTCATGAGACGCTGGAAATTCAGACGAGACACGAAGACAGCCTGTGCGACGAGGTGGAGTGGGCCAATCCCCTTCGGTATGGACTGGCTCTACTGTGGTCTCTTCAGGGGTATCGGCTGACATGGGGAAACTCATCTGGCCAAATGGTGAATCGAGCGAAAAGATTTCTGCTGGCTTCGTCTTACCCAACTGGGCTATTTCCTGGTTATCACAACGTGTTAAAGAGAAGGAAATATAATTACTTCGAAGCCGAGAATGATTGTGACTTTTACTTCCATCCCGGATTCGAGATCGCATACATCCTCTTGAAATCTTTAGATCTCAATGAGAATAGGGTCTTGCCTGCGGAGAGAGTGAAAGACCATGAGACTCTTGACTCTTCGACCTTTACCACACAGCAGCACGTCTATCGTGATTCAGGACCCTCAGGCGACCAAAGCTCTCATCTTCGAGCAGGCACACAGCTGGTGTCGGTCCCGATTACCCTCCGAAGACGGAACCCATACGGGACATCTCTCGATGTGAATAAGATAGTGGATGTCGCAGACGAATGGCTTTTTAGGGATCCTGATTTCCTTGACTTCACGCCTCCCGATAGCAGGAAAGACAGGGAATTTATTATAAGGGGAGCTTGGAAGGCCCTTGGCCTTGAGGGAGGCGACGAGTCAGCGATATGCGCAGACATAGAGAAAATGGAATCAACCGAACCAGAACTTCCATGGCGGTTAGTAACATTGATGGCACTGGCGGACAGACAGGGCTTACTGTGGTCACCAGAGCTTCTATGGGCATTACAAGCAAACAGAGACAGAGAGAATCTTTTGGGGTTCGTCTTTGATGTTCGCAAAGGCCGTAAGGCAAAGCTGGTCAACGCAAAATACTCACGGATTCCGATATGGAAAAAGGGGGTCGACCACTTTACACACCATCTACTGAAAAAAAGACGATACGATGAAAGTAAGAAGCGAATGGTGTACATCACATTTCCCACGTGCGCGATGTCTGCCATCTGTTACCTCGCAACCCCTGAGCGTGACAGACCTAGCTTCGCGTCTTTTATCCAGAGACATCGCGAGATCACAACAAGCTTCTTTCATGATGATGTTGTGGTAGAGACCAACTTCTGGGTAACTGAATTTCATTGTCGCTTCTTCAGAGCAATTTCCAGGGGCACGAAGGGTTGGGACAGATTGCACGCACACAGACAGTCCAAAGGGGGCGGTGCTACCCCAGCCCAGAGATACAGCCGGCAGTTAGCCTCGAAGCTGTGTCCACCCCTCGGAAACGGGTGTTTTCTGGTAGATGATGTCTTTAGTTTGATCATGGTGGGTGACTGGTGTGACCGATACTAGACGTGTCATGTCCTGGCGACCTCAACGGCCAGTACCGGCCTAAGCAAGGAAGATTGGGGCCAAAAAAATCACAGCTTTACTCAAAGAAAGGTGCTTGAGCTGTCTTTACTAAACCAACTGTTGGTCGATTTCCACCAGAGCACCAAGGAGATTCTGCGCAGGGTTGAGCAAGACTCTCGACCCAGTGCATCGGAAATGAGTGAAGATCTATACTCGACCATGAGCTTCAAGAACAGAAAGCAAGAGCTATTGGATGAAACATTCCAGGTTCTACGCAGGGTGAAAGACAGTATCACCGGGGTCCGGACGTTGATAGACGACTGGAGACAGCGGGAGAGCTCCCAGGGGCGAGAAAGGCCCCGCTGGACCCGTCGCGATGAGCAGCGGCATGGCATGCTTATTCGAAAACAGACTAATGAGTTGGCCAAGCATGACCGCGAGGTTGACGTCTTGCTATCCCATGTTGACTTCCTGATTGCCCTGGTGAACAATTAAATATCCCTCAACCAGGCGAGGGATGTTACTCGCTTCACCTACGCCACCGTCTTCTTTCTCCCGGTGGGGCTTGCAGTCAGTATCTTCAGTATGAGCGGGCCGCTGGACCATACAGCCATTCTCGGCATGATAATCACTGCAATCGTCGCCTTGGTGGTCACGGTGGCTTTCTTATGGCTTGTCATCCGAGTTCCAACACAAGTATACCCACAGAGTCAAGGCATTGGCTCGCCGGTGAAGGTTTTCCTGGCTAGAAAGGCGGGCGAGTTGGCCCACCTGCTTGGGGTGCAAGACACGAGCAAGCCAACCAATGCCAGTCAGGATCCAGTCGACGAGGCGGACACAGATGAGAAAGAAACGGCTCAATCTAGCCACCGGAGCATGTTTCGTGGTATATATGATAAGATAGCTGGTTTCTCGGGCTTGAGACATCAACACGCTGTACAGGAGCGCGAGGGTGACGCCCAAGCTTAGCAAAAGGTTCCCCATGGGTGATGAAGAATGAAGGATCCCTTGCAAGTGGGTTTAGAAAATTCCTTGATAAAACAATAATCCTGTCTGTGGCCTGCGGCCTTGATGTTCAGGCTGCGCACTTCACACCACACCATGCCGGTTTTTTTGTCCTCATATAGCCTGATGTGGTCTGAAATGATCACTCATCAACGTCCTCTGGAAATTTGAATAGACTGCTGTAAAAAGAACCTTCAGAGGCATGGAGTTCGCTCAGCTCTCCCGCCAGTTACTGGAGTTCAACAAGAATAGGTCCATTGGGAGCACCGAGGTAACAGCCATGAAAGAGAGATTTGGTGGGGACGCTCTGCATAGAAACAAAAAAGATCTAATAAATAGTAGGGTAGTACCCGAGATAGCCGACAAAACAAGAAAAAGATATGACAAGAGTGGGATTCGAACCCACGCCATCAAACGATGATCAGGAAGCTGTGAAGCTATGTGCTAAGGTAACCTTAACCTGACGCCTTAGACCAACTCGGCCATCTTGCCCTTTGTTGTAGAATGCTATCATTGTGTGCTTTATGACCGGCAAAAAGTCAGTGATCCGCAAAGCGCATAAAACCTGGGTAAATTCACATTCACAGCCTATCACTGAATCAGCAGCCACTTTCCTCATGCCAAAAAAGATTTTCTCTCTACATTTGGTGGTGATAGAAACTTTGACATGCTGATACTGTATATTTGGAGCTGCTTTACATGCTGAGTGCCATTATATCTACCTTAGAGTGAGTATCCTGTCTACAATTATAACATGCAGAACGCATGTAAGATGCATAAGACAGAATTCCAGTCACATTACATAGGCTTCCTCAAGATACAATAATATCAGGCCCGCCACTTTTGCTCTCCCATCTACGAGGCTGCTTCTCTATGTGCAAAATCAACCCGAACCAACGGACACGATCCCTCTATGATCAATCCTCGGTGTGAACAATCCACCATGACCCAGCACCACCTCCTCAGGCCTTCTGCTTCCACAATCCCCGAATAGTCCCAGGCAAGAACCACTCCAGGTACTTCCAAACCTTTCCTGGGGCATCAGCAGCAGCCGTCATTCCCAGTCCTCCCACAGAAGCGAGATAGTCGCTCGCGTATATTACCTCGTAGTCATTAGAGAAGCCGTTGAACTGTGTCGCGCTCACCACACTGTACGCTACACCCCGCAAACAAACTGCGTCAGCAGGGCCCAGAAAGCATCAACCAGGGAAAAATAGAGAAAGAAAGAGGGAGCTCACCACCCATCTCCCGAAAAACCAACCAATCCCCGACCTTGACCTCCCCCTCCATCACCACCTCCTTCGCCACACAGTCGATTCCATCGCACGTGGGCCCCCAGATCGAATACGGATGCGGTCCCGTCGCGCGCTGCTCCAGTTTCTCGTTCTCCTCGCCTCTCAGGGGAGTCGGGTCAGGTACGAAGACTTCATTCTCCAACAAGACCAACATAAAGCTGCCGTACACCCCGTCATTCAGATACAGCATGTCGGGGGTGAGGGACAGGTACGGCTGCGACTCGTCGAGCAACGGCTGCAGCTGCCGCCGCCGCGAGATCACCTTGCAGGCCATTGTGTAGAGGGTGCGGGCGAAGTAGCGACCCGGCTCGGCGATAACGCGCACGGCGGACGAGTCGGGGAAGGCTCCGTCGATCGCACGCGCGAGGGGGCCGGCCATCTCTTCGAAGTTGGTGTCTTGGAAGCCGCCGCCTACATCGAGGATGTCCATGGGTGGCAGGCCGAGGTGGGTTGCGAGATCGAACACGTGTCGGGCTTGGTGGACGGCTGTTGTGAATGCTGCCGGGTTACGGGCGCCGGAGCCTGTGGGTGTAAAGGGGGCTTGTTAGTCAAGTTGACGCTGGATATAACACAGGGTAGGTGAATGGATAGGGCGCGTATCTGCGCGCTTGTATATGTCTGCGCGTCTGTGTGTTTTGTGTACTGCGCACTTATATGCGCTTAATTGTTTGCCGGTGCACGCATGTGGGGGAGTTTTGAAAATCGCCCGGTATAGGCATATAGAAAAGATCTAAGAAAGAAAGAAGATATAACATACCAACATGAAAGCTCACCCCCCTCACACAAAGACCCAACTCCTTTGCCCGTCGCAGCAGCGGCTCGGCCGATGCCAGCGGCGCGCCGAACTTGTTGCCCAGCTGTGCGGCAGCGGTGTCGTCCTGTGCATAGATCCGGAGAAGCAGGTGCATATTTGGAGCGTGAGTCTTCATCTTATCGAGCTCGTCGATATTGTCGAATGTGGTGAGGGAGATGCCCCGGGCAGCGGCCACGCGAATGGCGGAGATGGACTTGCATGGATGTGCGAAGATGATGCGGGAGGGGTCCACACCCAGGGACAGGACCAGCTCGATCTCCGTCTGAGAGGCGCAGTCAAATCCCAGGCCCAAGTCGGCGAGAAACCGCAGGAATCGCACGTCCGGGTTGCATTTCACGGCTAGCGGGTCAATAACCCCTGGTCAGCCTATTCTGTTGCTGCGGTGGGAGGACTATGTGGGTGCGTGATGGGGGTAATTTTATGAAGCAGGGGACGACACTGACCGTAGAAAGGCGCTATATTGGGTAGAGCGCGTCGCCAACGATTGTAAAGCTTCAAGGCTGGCCCTGTATCGGCGATGAAGAAAGGGCGATCACTCTGTGTGCTGTAGGGGTCTTTGTTGGTTTCTGTGATACGGTTGGCGATGAGGTGGTCGATGAGTTTCCCCGCGGAGGGGAGCTCGAGGAGGACCATTGTGGATGAAGTTAAGGGTGTGTGATGTGTATGTGTGATGGTTGATAGGGAAGTCACAGAGAGGGATCTGAAGCTCTATTTTATAACGGCTTGGGCAGGTGAATTGCCAACAGTGACTGTTCGCCTTTTTGCCCGGGCTCACTCGACTTCATGTTCGGTGGTTGCCTACGCGTAGAGCCTGACCAGGCACCACGCTTGTTCCATCGTCGCCCAAGGTAACAGCTTGCATATGGTTCATGTGTGGACTAGTCTGAGTGGTCACGGTGTTATGGGAGATGTCTCATTGATACTGTTGGACGTAGGGTTGTCTTGAGTTCAGCTCTCGGACACGATGTTTGCTTGGCATTTAGCCATCTCGAGCACTACCTATCTCTTTTGTTTCAATGTTCCTGGGGATGTGTTTCAACTTTCTGATGTTATGCTGGCACAGGACTTTTGTTGTCAGTGTTTGAGATGCCCAGCTCCTGATATCCGGCCAGGAAGGATGCGCCTCCAAGACAAAACACTGTAGTCACGTATCTGGACCTGCAGTGGTAAACCAGTACTGGAGCCAGATAGCTTGCTCAGATATTACAAGATCTACGATTTCTCAGCCGACGTCAGTTCGCTACGACAGGGTTCTGCATGCTGGCGGCATTTGCGGAAGTTGCGACACCAGCTCTGGGCGGCCACGTCCTTGACACACTTAACGCACGATGCGAGGAAGTACTATAATCAAGGAGGAGACACAGATCTGGCACATAATCTGGCAGTGTCAAGATGTGGGCAGGTTAGTCTTTCGCGTTGTTCGCGATATGGGCACTTTTTATGTATCAGTATGGCTCATCCTGCATGCATGATCTGTTCTGCAACGCCACAATTTCCTACCGTAAGCGGAGATATCTGTGAATGAAGTATCTGCCACGAGTGGACTGGTCACGTTGTCGCCATCGACGCGCATTATGGGCTGCTGGTCATAGATTAACGTAGCGTTGAGCAGCATCGGGGCTGACGTCGGGTAGAAGCTGCATCTCGGGTTGTCAAGTGATGGTGCCCATTACTCGGGCCGCTGTCCTTGGAATTTTGCATTGGCACTTTGGCAACTCTGGTTCTTTTAAGTTGCGTGGTGGGGTTTTGGGACAGTATTCGTAGGCGTGGTCTTTTTTATTGCTGCCCGTGGGATGGTGGTGATGAATGAGTGACCCCAGGCTAATTCCGCCGCAGGTTGAAATATGTATTTGACTAGGTAGAGGCAATATTTTCACCAAGCAGTGCCTACCGCGTGCACAGTTAGTCACGCAATCAGATAAAAGCCCGAGAGTTTTCACAAGATCACAAGCCGCCTGCTTTAAAATCATGGCCCCGACTTGGTGGCAAGCAATTATTTCCTACCTGCTACTTACAGGGCATTGAGGCAGGCAACAAGCAAGAATGATGCCTTTGTAGGGTTTAACCTAGATTGTATAGCATTAGTATGGTACGTGCTTCAACAAGCAAGCCCGGCTAGCTCAATCGGCAGAGCGTGAGACTCTTAATCTCAAGGTTGCGGGTTCAACCCCCGCGTTGGGCTTTACTTTTTCTTTTTGTTTTTGTTTCTCTACTCATTATATTATCACATGAATCTTCTTAGAGCTGTCTTAGACGCTTAACAGTTTATCCTGTTCAGATTTACCGTATAGAACAGTCTTCCGCCTGACCCATGGTAGCTGAATCCCAACTCTACCCTCTGTTGGTCGCATTATTACTTCATTTACAGTACGTTCGACTGCATCCCTTGCATCACAACCCAAACCCTCAAAACAATCATAGAACATCGAATTTCCAATCCAACCATGCTGCAGTCCAATTAAACGCTAATCACATTCTCCTTCCCCACCCTTTGCTCCTGCGACGGATCAAAATCCCCGAATGCCTCCACCGCCTCCCCGCGCAGATACTGCACCGGTGTCTGGAACCCCACGAACCCAATATTCGGACTTGATAGCCCATACCCCATGACCCGCTGCGCTGCCGGCGACCACGACAGCACCTTCTCCGGGGCATTCGCCAGGTAGACGTTCTCCTCCTGGCGCAGGAACCCGCGCGAGAAGAACATCCCATGCACGATGCGGCGCTCCGCGGTGGTGACATTCGCGCCGCCCGCATGATACAGCCCCCCCAGCATGACCCAGCAGTCGGTCACATCCAGCTCGGCGGCGACCGCCTCGTCGAGCCGGGGCGCCCGATCGGACCCCCACCGATGACTGCCGGGGATGGCGAGGGTGGCGCCGTTTTCCACCGTGGTCCGGACCCCCGGCACCATGAACGCCATCATCACGTCGGAGCCCACCCGGTACCCGTCCGCGGATTGATCCGCGTGGTCGACGTGGTAGTTCTTGTCGTCGCGGTGAAGGCGCTGGGCCTGGGCGCCGGGCCCGATGTCGAAGGTCATCGCGATGGAGCAGATGGCTTCGCTGGTGTAGGTGTGTTTCGTCTCGCCGTAGAAGTTGGAGGTGGTCTTGTCGATGAAGGTGGCGGTTAGGGCGCGGACGAGGGGGTCGATCAGGAAGGTTTCGCGCACGGTCGGGCTGCGGCCGGCTAGGTTGGTGCATCGTCGGGTTTCAGGGGGGAAGAGGTCGCCCTGGAGGTTCTTATTAGATTGTTTCTGGGACTAACGATGAAGTACCGGAGAAGGGGAGAGGTGTTGATCAAGGAGGTGTGAGGTATGTACCTTCCATGGTTTATCGGCCTCCAGATATGGCTGCACTTCCGCGTTCGCTCTTTGAACGGTCGCTGCATCGGTGAAGTTCTTGATCACACAACAGCCATCTTGGATGATTGCTTGTATGATAGCATTCACGTCTGAGCGGTCGATTCGTTGCACTTGAGGGATCTTGACAGCCATGATGGCTTGGCGATGAGAGTTGTTGTTGTTGTTGTGCCAGAGAGCAAGGCCTTCTCAGGGCCTTCTCAGGGCATATAAACTCATTCCCCCTCCGCACTTGGCTTCCCATCTTGGATACGTTAAGTTGCGGTTGAATGTTTATGGCATGTGGAGCCGTGGCTGACTATCTTCCCCGCATCTGAAGTTGGAATCTGTGGCCGCGATAAGAGGTTATCACGGCCATCACCCCGCCTCCGACCAATCGTCACGGGGAGGATTATCAGCGCTTTTGGGTGCTTGCCCTTCCTCTTCTCAACTTCATCCTCCAAATGGCTACGATACAGGGCTCCTGTCACAACTGTCGCGCTCGAAAGGTGCGATGCGACCGAAATACACCCCGGTGTTCCTCGTGCCAGTTGCGGGGTGTTTATTGCCAGATACCGGCGTCTCCACCGCGGATACTCTGGCTGCGGCCGCGCAATGCTCATGGCAAGGGTGAAGTGGAGGAGTTGCATGCAAGGCGGCAGCTTCTAGTCACAGGTAAGCTGGCCTGTTGCATACTCAACCGAATTGTTACGGTGTGACAGAGTCTGAGTTGCGTAGAATACCAACTCGGTAGCAATGCTACCGAACTGGTGTCCATCTTGGGAGGCGTCTCGATAGCTGCGGCCCTCAATGAGCTAGATCAAAAGGCTATTGGCCTACAAACCGAGGAGACCACGTCCATTGGACCTTTTCATGCATTTCGGTTCATGGACGACATCTCCTCGGCTCAACCTGACGCAGACTCAGACACCACCGCATTTGCAGACCTGGACCCGGCAACGTCCGATGCAATATATGGACTACCAGATGATCCAGTCTTTTTCTCCGAAATAACAGGACAGATGCATACACTCAATCATACATATTCAGCTTCGAACCCACCCAACTTCGTATTCCCCTTGAACAGACCACTTGCGCGAAGCACACCACAAGACCTGGTCGACTTCACAGCCCCTACTGCTAAGCTCCTCTTGGATCACTACCGCCGCACCATTATCAATTACCTGGCCCCGGCGCGTGTCAAATCCAAGTCCCCCTGGGAGAAAGTCTACATCCCCAGCGTGCTCGGCGCTATCGGTGAGATCCTTCTCAAGGGAGACAGCAGCAACGCGCGAGTGTCCCTTCTCTTCTCGGTCCTTGCAGTTAGTGCATTCAGTCTACACGAAGACACCCTGTTAGAAGATGAATGGGGTTGTTGTGCAAGTTCCCGCCTCCTCGGAAACATGTATCGTGCGAGAGCTACTATACGCTTAAAAAAGTCCCTACGGGACCTGTCGGCCGGCGGGACAAAGAAAGACAAGTACAAGGATATTCTCATGGCATTGCTGAGTATGGTGACTATTTGTGTATGTCCTGAAAAGCGGGTGAATGGTTTGAGACTGTAATTCTAACCTTTGTCCAGATAGTCAGCGGGGACATGAACAACGCAGCACACTACCTGCGAGACAGCGAGGAGATCATCCACCGGTACGGAACACGCAAAGTCGCCCGATCGGTGAAAGTGCGCATGCTACACAGTATCTATCTCTACACACGTGTGTTGACGGAGCGTTCGTGCTTTAAGAACCTGGACTTCGATGCCGTCGCGACGGGCGATGGGGTTGAGAAGCCCTTCGACCCCCTTGCGCACTCAATGCAGATTTCCACGATGGACTACATGGTTGGCCCTGTCTACGTACCTGTTGCAGACAATTGGGTCCGGGACTTGGAGGATTTTGATCCGAATTTCCGGTCCCCTTTTGAGGATATCTACTCTCTACCGCAGTCGCTGTTTGAGCTCATCGCCGCGACAACGCGATTAGCGTCCAGTTTGGGAAGATCAACTATGCGCGACTTTTGCAAGCCGTTACAACACAGTACGCTTTTAGCGAGTATCAAAAACCTGGAGACTCAAATATGCAGTTGGGAGTACGGCACGGAAGACATCAACAGTGCTTCACCCAGGCCCCCGAGGGAGCGCTTTCCGTACCACCTCGTCCAGGCGGTCCACAAAGCCCTGATCATCCACTTCCACCGGGCCATCCGGAACGTCAACGCGGTCATCCTCCAGCCATATGTCCACGACGTGATGCGGCATCTGACTGCATACGACGACTGCAGGCACAGGCTCAATGACCAATCAGCAGATACTTGCTGGCCCGCATTCATCGCTGGCTGTGAAGCACTGGATCTTCAACTCCAGGGGGAGTTTGCCCGGTGGCTGCAAATCGCCGCCCAGACGACGGGGATCCGGATGTATACTGTAGCGCTGGAGGCCACGCGGCAGGTCTGGGAAGCGCGGAGGCGTGCTGGTAAGCAGGATGCGGCTTGGTCCCAGGTGCTATTCAATTCCAGTGATCTAAGGGTGTTGGTGCTAAGCTGAGAGAGAGAGGGAGCTTCTTGTATGACGAAAGCATCCCGATAAGCCGTCTGTTTTTTTCGTTCTCATTGGTCCTTTACGATTGACTTGGCGCAGTCGAAGATCGGTACCTATGGAGAACACAGGCCAATTTACACTCTACAGTGAAATGAATGGCCCACAAGGCCGAGACACTTATCATATCTCCGCATCTCCCCTCACGATAAGCAACCCCCCCTCCCCTTGATTCTTATCAAGTGCGGGGAGATCTGCAATTGGCAAGTGACACCGGAATCTAGACGCTGATAGCCTTCTGCCGCGATACGAGATCCTTGCTTCGTCTAGATTGGCCTGATTTTATTCACTCCCTGGATTCGAGTGAATAGTATATGAAGGGGTTGCTTCCGATATTCCGGGCTTCGGCCTCGGATGGCTGTCGGCCACACAAAGAACAAGATAGGAGAATATGGAGCACGAAGAAAACCATCTTGGGGGTGACAATGTTGCTTCCTGCAAACTGGAGGAAAAACGATTCGACCTGGAACCTACTCTCTCTGTCGCCGAGGGCCAGGTCGATGCCGATGAGACCACTCATGGCGATTTACATCGCACGTTGAGTCCGCGGATGATCCATGTACGCATAGTCTCCCCATCTAGGGCTACCCCAGTAAGCCACACCACTCACATCATGATCTGCATAGGTGATCTCCCTCGGGTCCAGCATCGGAAGCGGGCTCTTCATCGCGACGGGCAAAGCCCTAGCGGAGGGCGGCCCCGGCAACATGTTCCTAGGCTACCTCGTGGTCTGTCTCGGGGTCTGGGCGAACCTTCAGACCTTGACGGAGATGACGATCGCGTTTCCGACTTCGGGGAATTACATCGACTATGCGGATCGGTGGGTGGATCCAGCGTTGGCGTTCGGGGCTGGGTTCGCCGAGTGGCTTGGTAGGTTGCTGTCTTCGCTGTGGGTATGGGGTGTGGAGATGAGCTGATTGTGCCGGTCTGCACAGGGTGGACCTCGGTGTTTGCGTCCGAGGGGACGTTTCTGGTTATCCTGGTGAACTTCTGGGCTGAGGGCGTGGTGCCGGAGGCTGCTTTGCGTGAGTTTGTCCTACTCCCTGCTTTCTTCTCGTTGTGGCTCTGGGTCTTCTCTGGTTGAATGATTTGCTTTTCTTTGAGGAGCTTGTGGCTGATGGCTCTATATACAGTCACCATCTTCTTGGTAGTCTGTTTTGTGGTGTTCCTCATGCCAAACAGCTTCTTCGGATGGCTCGAATACATTGGGTCACTGGTCAAGGCTTTCTTGTTCGTCTTCATCACGATCATCTCACTGGCCATTATCGGCGGCGCGGGTCCGACAGGATACGTACGAGACGGCAGCACCTGGACCGATCTGCCCGCCTTCAAGAACAGCTTCGGAGTACTTCATCCCCCAAACTGTCTTTTCTTTGCTTATTCAATCCTAACCTGTACGCTATAGGGCTTCTCCAACGCCGCATTGCTCGCCATCTGGGCCGTCGGCGACCAGGTCTTCATCGGGGTCATGGCCGGCGAGGCCGAATCCCCGCGGTACTCCATGGCGCACGCATCCAACCTCATCCCCTGGCGCGTCGCCGTGTTCTATCTGGTGTCCGTCGTACTGGTCTCCCTGATCGTGCCGTCCACCGACTCCCGCCTGCTGGGTGGCTCGAGCGTGGCCTCGTCGCCGTTCGTCATCGCCGTTCAGGACGCCGGCATCCCCGGTGTCCCAGATCTAATCAACGCGTGCATGATCATCGGCATTCTGGCGATTGCGCTGGAGTGTATCTTCCTGCCGTCGCGGATCCTCCGCACCATGTCTCTCCAGGGACTGTTGCCCGCGTTCGTGGCACAGGTGGATAAGAAGGGTCGGCCGAGGTGGGCGCTGGCCATCACCGCGGTCGCGGGCGTGGCTCTGACGTATATGAGTTTGAGCGGTATGCCGTCCACATTGTCTTCCTGTGCATTCTCGTTGCATGCTAACCATGTGCATAGCCGGCGGCACGGAGGTTCTTAACTGGCTGATCGCCATCACCAGCGCCTCCTTCTTCTCCAACTGGGCAATCATCGCGGTCACCTCGTTTCGTTTCCGGGCTGCGATGCGAGCGCAGCAGAGTCCATTGTTCGAGACTCCATATGCGTGGCAGTCGCTATTGTGGCCTCTCGCCCCCGTGACCAGTCTTGCGGTCTCGAGCGTGTTGCTGGTCTGTCTTCTTTACACGAGCATCAAGCCGGTGGTGAGTTTTCGTCCCCGTCGTCTTTTCATTATCCCTTGCGAAGCTTCGTCAAGGTTACGCAGGCCTTAAATTTACGATATAACAGAGCGGAGGCGGCTTTACAGCGTACAGTTTCTTCTCGGCTACGATCGGATTGATCCTCATCGTGGTATTTACCATCGCCTACAAGATCCTTCGACGCACACCCTGGAGGGACCCCGCGACGGCGGATCTGGTCACCGGTCTTCGGGAACTGAGTGCAGAGGAGTTGGAGATGTTGGATACTTACTATGGACGACCGCTGTGGCGGAGGTTGGGGACTTATCTGCGAGTCTGGTGAGGAGGCAGGACACCACAGGGCTTGAGGAGTGGTTTCATATGGACGCTGTTATGGTCTGCAGCTACCTCGGCGACATGAGCCAATCATCTTCCCGCACCGACGCCGAGCATGAATGTACTCATGCACATGGGCCCAACCATCACTGCTCTTTGAGTGCCGATGGCAGTGGATCATTATCTTCCATTTGGAGTAAGAATGCGTTATCATGCAGGCTTGATATTAGGGTGTGATGTAGCCTTATGAGGGGGAGTTTCCCCGCATCTTCATATCACTTATCATCAGAGTCCAATGTAAATACCAGCCTCTTCCTGGAGAACCGTCCCAGTAGTGTTGAAACAGCTCACATCAGTTGCTTGTCCATCTGAGTATAGTGAACACGACTTATTCGATAAAGATGGCAACCGCCGACCCCGTCTCAATAGCTTTCATCCACTTCATCACCGATCACTGGCCATACCTCGGCGCAGGCCTGCTCGTACTCTGCGTTCTACTTGTTCAAAGAAGAAGCCCAGCTCCAACCCACGAAGACCCCAAGAAGAACCCCACAATACCTCAGATCGACCCGCTCGTCGACTTCGACTGGACCAAAACCGAGCCCCTCGTCCTCCGGCCCTTCAAGCCCCGTTACCACATCACAATGGGTAGACCCCACCCCCCACTGCCCTCCAACCTAAGCAACCATTAACCAAAGACCAGGAATCGAAACGACCACCCTCTCCGAAATCGTCCAAATCGACAAACACTACCTCTCGCGCATCCAGCTCCGCACCGCCCTCATCCAGCACAAGAAACCCGCCGTGCTGGGCACGACCCCGCGCGCCGTCCCCGCCGTCCGCGAGCTCTACACCTTTTTGGTCAACGACTACCTCCCGCAGCGGTACGGGGCAATCTTCCACCGCCTCCCACCGTCCCCCAACCAGCTAGAATCAATCACCAACGTCATCACCGGAGAAACCATCCCCTGCACACCCCCCACAGACCCCGAAGAAGCCCTCGCCATCATCGGCCGCCAAGTCGAGGAGGACTTTTTGCTCCTTCTCCCTCCTCCTCCTCCTCCTCCTTCGCCCACCACCTCCACAACCGGACCAAAAACGGAACCCAGGGCGGAGGACCCGGAGAACAAGCAAATGTCGCTCGAGGCATTCATCGGATGCTTCCCGAACGGCTTCAGCTGGGCGGACAAATTCACCAAATCGCTGGCGGCCATCCATGTCCCCGTGCCGGATTACACGGCCAAGTTGAGGGGGAGTATGGATCGGTATCTGGGGCGGTTGGCGGTGGGGACTGTTGTTAAGCGGGCGAATGTATGTCTTTCCCTGCCTTTACTCTTGATTTCCTTTGGTTCGGGAGGATGGGGTTTGCTAATTTAGGAGTCGAAAGTGGACCGTGTCCGTGGACGGGGAGCTGCATGCGGCCGACAGTATGCATTTGTACGAAGGGGAGACGGTGGAGGAGGTGGATGTGTTGGATATTGAGAAGGTTTGTCTTGTTGCTCTTTTGCTCCTGGTGGAGGAGGTGAGGATTGGAAAGCAAAAGGCGATGGCTGACGCAGGTTCTAGGCCCGATTGCGGTGCGAGAGACAGGTGCTCTTCCGGCTGCCCCGCTCCAACGCGGTGGTGTTTGTGGTCCGCACGTATATGTACCCTTTGCAGGAGATCAAGGAGGAAGGTAGTGGGCCGAGGATGGTGGAGGCTATCGCTGGGCTGAAGGCGGGCAGCTCCCCGGGGTTCCATTTCTACAAGCGCGCGGCCGTCTGGCAGAGGGCTGTGAGTGAGTTTTTGGTCGGGAAGGGCGGGGGGTGTGCAGAGTAGGAGATTTACCGGGTTCCTGAGGTGTATTGGTCTATTGAGGTGTCCATCAACTTCGTTCTTCATGCAAACATACCAAGGTTCTACTGGAAACAGAGATCCGTAACCCTCCCCGGAGAGATCTAAGACATAGTCACGAGACCCCATCTACCCTAATATCAAGACAACAACATCGCCCCATCACCGCATTACCTTGCGATAAAGCCGGCGGATTCACCGGCGGATGGCTGGGTGTTGGGGCTCTGGGGGTGAGAGGCGCTAATTGAAGGGGATGAGCGCTGAGATGTTGGAGGTCGGAAGAAAGGGTTATATGAGTATGGGCGGTGGTTATACGTTGCTGTCGAATGTGCGTACTGACAATATGTTTTGTGAAGTCATGAGTGCTAGCCTGGGTGTGTCTGAAGTCTGATGAATTCACTTTGCATTTGACCGCAGTGGCTAGTCCGTCAGTGGTAGGAACTTGGCACTAGATAGTGCTCATTGTCAACCACTGCTTGTGGAGAGTTTATGCAACCCTGCGCCATAAGCATACAAGACGTTTACACTCAGTCTCAGACAAATAATCTGTTTTTTCGCAACAACCATCGTTTCTTCCACGTTAAGGTCCGTCAAGTAATCCTATCGTTCTGCATTGGGCTCCATTGAAGTTTCTAAGCCAGGACCGTAGCTCTTTCTCCGTCTGATCCATCATTCTCGTTCCTCGCCGCTACAAGGCTGTACAAGACCTGCGCCTTCAGATTCCTGAAGTCAGGTCCAGGATAGAGGCCCGTCTGAGAGACGTTGACTAGATGTACAGTTCAAAAGTGCTTCTCTAAAGAATTATAATGGGATCTTTTAATAAAGCATATCTTTTTCACTAAACCGGGCCTGCGTCTGAAATGACCCGTAGATCCCGTTTTCCCCAATGGATATCAACATTATGACTATGTACAGTACACGATAAAAATATTATAAAAAATTAAAATCCCGCTGGGCATCCCTCAAAGCAGCAAAGCTGGTAGTGCTGTCGTGGCTCGAGTCACACTCCACATCTGGTCCCGTCCTTGATGAGAATTTCCTGACTTTCCCGCAGACGCTTCAGTTGCCGTTGTACAGAGCCCCTAGCTGAATCCACTTATCAGCTCTCGCTCACACCCAAACAGAAAAAAAAAACAGACCTTAGCATTCCACCAAAACAATACCCCAGGTTGGACACCTCACTCAAAGCAACAACCCCGCAACAACAGGCGCCACGCCCAAAAACACAGTGCGCGGCCCCAACAACCGCCCGGCCCCGTTATGCTCCACGGGGAAGGCGTCCGGGTCGTCGGTGTTGCAGTGGCCCTCGGTCTCGGTGGAGCTCAGCGTGCAGTTGGCGGTGCGGCCATCGGCGCTCTCGAAGGTCAGCACGGCGCTGTACCAGTCCACGGTGACCGAGGCGTCGCCGCAGATGGACTTGGTCTGGACGCCCGTGTTGCGGCCGCACGACTTCTTGAACGGCTTCGACGAGCCCTTGCAGCCGAACAGCTCGTCCTCGAGGATCACTGAGCAGTGCGACACGTACGAGTTGGCCGGCGGGTTGGTCGTTCGGATCTTGATCTCCGCGGCGCTGAGGGTCTGCGCGAGGGCGAGGAGGGCGCCGATCTTGAGGAGGTGCATGGTTTGGATGTGGGCTTGAGGAGTTTGGAGTGGGAAGCGCCGGATGAGAAGCCACAGGAAGGGTCGGGTTTAGGGAGTCAAGCTGAAGACTGCAGTTTATATGCTTCCTGATCTACTACGGGCAATTCTCGGCTATCCCGGCACGTCGAGTCGGGTGCTCGGGACCCTGAAGGGTTTTTTTGTGTGGTGGGCGACCAGTCATGCTGAGGCTTATCGGGCGTTGAGAGGCTCCACTGTACTTTCTTCTTGAATACTGTATGGAAAGAGAGCCTTGCGTCTTTTTGAGCAATCGTACTGTACAAGATCCGCTGCGAGCAGTTAAGACTTCCAGAGCATCCGTGCCGGCGATCCGCATCGGGCTTGGCAGGGTACGGCTTGGCGTACAGGGTCTTTTCCACGACACAACAAAGTAATAGCTATTGCTGAAAGCACGGCGCATTGATGATACACGTAATAAATAGATTGATGTTTGACTTGAATATTTAATAGCTGTCTCGTTTTGATTATATATGCATACAGAAGAGAAACCCTTTCAAATGCGGGTTTCTCTCCCTCAGACCACAAACTCGTCTAGCCTCTAGGCTCCGGGACATCCGGGCAGGGTCCACTCCATCCGACTGGTGTCGAATGAAGACGTTGTTCCTGATCCAGGATGGGAGGACAATTCACAAAAAAGGCAAATCGAAAACTAGTAGGCCGTGGGTCACATGGTGCCTTACAGTCGAGACAAGCAAAGTTAGTAGAATTAAATCCCGCACAAGGACGAGTGATGGGCAATTTGGCAGTTATCATTGGTGCTAGAGAAGCTACTCGGGCAAGGTCACGAGCATTGAAGCTGTGCCTGAGGACTGTTCTGGATTACGATACCCTACTCAGGTACCAGCCTCGTCATAGCTACTCTGCAGGTGCAATCCACTACTAGGTAGAGCTCTACAGTCAGTATCAAGCAGTCAAGCCACGACCACACGATAGGTGAATGCAAACGAGTCCACCCAACCAAGGTCATCGACCAAGCTACCACCTACCGTATCATCCTCATCTACTCTCCTAGTCTCTTACCCTGATCCTCAAAATCAACCCTAATAACTACTAGATACGTACCATCTACGCCATCGTCAACCCACAATTCTCACAACACCCATTCTCATCCTCACTCTCCGAAACCTCATCAAAGAAACTCCCCTCAGATTCATCCACCACCCCCAACGTCCGCCGCAGCGACCGCAGCCACTCCTCCACCCGCCTCCGATCCTGCACAAGACACAGCACCTTACACAGCCCCCGCCGACACCCATCCTCGCCCTGCAGATTCTGGAACCACACGTGGCCCCCCACCGCAACCCCGAGCACAAACTCCGGCAGCAGCGCGGAGTCCGCCGCCACCAGCTGCTGCTGCAGGAGGGCCAGCTTGCGCTGTCGGATCTCGCGGAGCTGGAGCTCCGGACTGGCCTGTGCGGTGGTCGCATCGTGGCAGATGATCTGGATGACGATGCTGTCCTTCCCGTTTTGCGGGTGGGGGCTGACGAGATCGATGATCTCGTAGGGCAGGGGGCTCTGTGTGGCCGACTCGATGAATCGGCGGGTGAGGAGTCGGTAGTTCTGGGCCTGGCTGTCGCTGCTGCTGCTGCAGGGAAAGACAAGCGCGCGGCCGAGGATCTGAGCCCATAGTTTGGCGGTCTCGCGGGCGCTCGGTTGGGTGTTGGACTGGCTGGCTTCGAGGTAGGTTCGGATGTGCGGATCGGCCCAGTAGGACCAGGGGCGCTGGGTGCGGGCTGTGGTTTTGTCCTGGGGGGGCAGGGTTAGTTCGATTGTTTGGGTGGTGTAGCTTTGGGGTTTTTGGGATGGGGTGGCCATTTTGATGCGGGGGGGTTCTTGTTGGGTGAGGGAGGTTAAGGTAGATGGGTGGTTCGAGGATGAGGTCTGTTGGTTAGAGGCTTGGGAATGCTGGGGTGCATGATGGAACAGCACTGTAGATGGGCGTATTTATACCCTACATGGTGGAGAGGTTATGATCGAAGAGAAAGAAGTGTGTAGAAAGAGACTTGGTGTAGCCTTTCTGCCCACTGTGAAAGAGGGTTGAGAGGGAAGATGTGGTCACTATGGTTATATAACTGTGAAGGGCAGCAGAATGAGGATCGTCCTGCAATCCTGTTCATACTAGATTCTGATTGTGATTATTGCTTTCTTTCTGTAGCGGAGGAGAATAAGTATGCAAGAAGCTTAATTGTTGAGCAGCATGCTTGTGATGTATGCCTTTGTCAATTTCCTTTGTTCGGATTGTCTTGGTATAGCTCTTTGTTCTTAGATCTTGCTGCACCTGACTTGGCTTCGTCCCCTTCTTAGATGGCTGACCAATCATTGGCACTTCTTGTCAATCTTCTCAGGCTGGTGCAGGGGTATGCATATGCTTATCTAGATGGGGCATGAACAAGCAATTACTTACGTATGTTAGCGGCTCGGTTGAGCGAGCCAAGGTTGCACAATAAAAGTAAGTCTAAGAGATCGCAGAGGAGCTGGTTTTATCTAATACAGTGGATCGTTGTTTCTATACTCCAGATCTTGCCCCGCCCCAAGTAACCTGAAGTAACTTATAGCATGTACTGCGCGGGCCGAGCTAGTACATACAACACAGCTAAAGATTACCTCCAATCAGGATTCAAGCTCATAGTAGTTTTCTTGTATGAAACATTTGCTTAATAGTGACCTGTGCTTGCTTATATCACGTATAAGAAAGAGTTATATGTGAGGACCGACAATGTAAACCTGGGAGAGTAGTTAGAGGGCGACGGGGCTGTTACTAATTCGATGTTAAATACACGTTTATTTTAGGGCTATTACGCAAAATAAGCATCAGAATGACATCAACTAGCATCATTGGTCTAGTGGTAGAATTCATCGTTGCCATCGATGAGGCCCGTGTTCGATTCACGGATGATGCACTCACTTTTTGCCCTTTCTTTTTTCCTTCCCCTTCCCGTCCACATGATCTTCTCTGTTCTATCTTGTCACCTTCCTTGCTCCGTTGATTTTGCTTTATATTGTTAATCTTGATGTTGTTTCTCTCGGTGTATATCATTGACCGAGACATCAGTTCCGTTCTACAGAACTTTCACCCTGCCAACTATAAGACATATTCTGGTACTATCAATTATTATTTCCAAACACCCAATTTGTATCCCCCGAAAAGTCCCACATATTGACCAGATCGCTCGGCAGTTGAGAGAAATCGAATTCGTCAAGCGAAGGGACGATACTCGAGGGCATACCCAGCGCCGACATATCGCGGGACCGGTCTACCGGATATCCCGGTATCTCATTATCCTGGTCTGGCTCTTTCACCGTATCTGCAAGATTGTCAGTTTGACCAGAAACCATGACAGACCCTGTCGCAATACAACCTACCTGCGCCCCCAGATCTCACAGCACAACCAACCCCGCCGTCACCCCCTGCCACAGCATCATCGCCCGAGCCATCCACCTTCCGGACCATGACACTGATCGCCAGCCAAGCCTGCCTCGCCTCCGCCGACTCCCCCTGATACCGACTCAGGATCCCCTGCGAAGTGCGTAACGCGAGCAGCAACTCCTCCATCCCCGGATTGTAAACGTGTGTGTCCCAGCCCCCCTCCCGCCTCCGCAAATGCAGCTCGAAACACACCACCATGGCAGCGAAGATGAAATCATGGGTCGTCAACGAGGTCACAAACCAGCGACACCGACTCAGCACCCCGCCCGGCTGGACCTGTGCATCGATCGTCGCCTGATGCCGCAGCAACCGCATCGCGGCGTCCAGACACACCGCCCTCGACGCGGCACCTCGTGGATCCGAGCGACCTTCACTAAGTCCTCGCCGGTGGAGGATACACCGGGACTTCAGGTAGAGGATCTCGAGATTATAGCGCAGCATCACGAGATGCGGCAGCTCCGTGACCGAGGCGCCGACCTCGCGGAACTTCAGGACTGCCGGCGTGCTCGCGTAGGCGGCGTTGAGCTGCTGGTCGAGCTGAACGACCTGCGTGGGCGCCGTCGGGCCCGTCGAGGCAACGTGATCCGCGATGCGGCCGAACACCTCCGCCAGCCGGCTCTTGGCGATGAGATACAGGACCGGCGTGAACTCGGTCGCCGGACGGGGCGGCGGGAGACTGGTGGACGCTGGACCGAAGTCCTCGTCCAGCAGGTTGTGCGGCGGCCGGGTGTCGGCCACCCCGCTGGCGATCATGCGCGGCAGGCCGATCTGGAACGAGAACAGCGCGTCGAGCTGCGCCATCAGCGACCACAGGCGCCGGCGCATCTCGGCCTCGAAGCAGGAGAGTTCTGGGGAGTACCCCGCCCCGTCGCGGTGGAGCCCGGCCCGCATCGCGAGGCGGATGGTCATCCCCATCAGGAGCCAGACTTCGTGCTGGGCGTCTTTGCTGCGGAAGTACTCGGTTTGGGTGTACAGGGCGAGCGCTTCGAGGGTGTATTTGGTCGGGGTGGTGTATTTGGCCGTCAGCAAGCAGTAGGCGGCTTGCAGGCGGAAGGTTTCGCATTGTGTTTCGGGGGTGATATTGCTATTGATGTTGTTGTCGACGGGGTCCGGGGTGGTGGGGCCTTCGGTGCGCTGGTGCAGGTGGATGGCGAGGTTCATTATGCTAAAGAGGATGCTGAGCCATGTGGGGCTGATGGATTGGGGGTCAATCCAGAAGTGGTCGTACTGGGCTTTTGTCAGTAGGTGCGGTAAGCACGGGTTGTGGTGGTGGGTAAGAGACCTCTTGCTGGAAGGTAGGGGCGTGGATGATTACTGGTGGGGTGAGATTAGTTGACTTGTTATTATGATGAGGATAAGTCAACTCACAAACACCAGGTTCCATCGAACTGAAGAATCGCGACACTAACCGGTCAACAATGGGTCGTGCTGGGATATGAGCCAGGATCTCCTCCATTCCACCCGGTGGTGACAGTCCCAGTAGCAACACGGACCCTTGCTGGCCGGACTCTGCAGCAGGCGTAGTGAAGGGTGACTCAGAGTCAACACACTCTTTGATCTCAGCGATCTGTTTATTGAATGTAAGTAAACAAGTTAATTATGTCAATAGTCCAGGAGTATTTGTGTTAGCAACATACACTATCCTGAAGTGCGGCCCAGTGCGCACCTGAAACATAGCTCATACCCGTCGGATCCACGCGCATACTTCCCAATGAGTTGGTGATTGCATCTTGCCTATCTGCATCGTCAATCTGCCTCTCCTGCGCCGTGTGCAGGGGGCTGCCCGAATGGCCTGAGCCCCCACCCTTCTGCAGTACCGTTACGAGCTCCTCGAGTTGCCGAATGCGTTGACTCAAGTGCCGCGCTGACGAGGGAGGATTGCGACGCGAAGCAGCCGAAGCAGGCCCCGTGTAGACGCAGTCCAGACCACGCTTGACACAGCTGCTACACGGTTGAAGGCGATCACATCGCAGTCTTGCATAGGTCAGTACCCAGGGTGGCTTCCGGAGGACAAGGGCGTTTACTTTTTCTGACGACAAAAGGTACAGGATAGGGCTGTTCTTACTGGAGGCTGCAGCGATGCCATGAGTCTGTAGTTCGGTTCTTGTCCAGTGAAGACCAGAGCCCAGTCACACTGTGGCTTGTTTGGCGTGAACGATTACCGTGCGGGTGCGGGGTTGTCAGCCGTCGCTTATGTCAGCCCCACATCATCCCTGTTCCACCTGAGGCTTGTTTCGATGCCACTCTCGATGTCGGTCTCGAATGCCATATTATCCGTACTGTAATCGATTCTAATGCGAGAATTAAGGCAAGCCGGCTGAGATAAGGAAGTAAGCTCCACTTTGTAAATTTGCTTCTGGAGGAAAAGCAAGCTCTTGCGTTAACTTGAATCATTACCACACTCAGGAAGTATAACACCAACCAGGTTGGTATGACATCTTTCCCAGAAGATCCCAAGCCTCTAGATCGAGCCAAGTGTAGATCCGCCGATCCACAATACCCGGCTTGCAAGTACGTATAGGGTGTAGCTCCTGAAGCCTCCCACAAGACGTGTGCCCCTCGGGGCCACCACCACCTATCACCTCCGGACTTCCCATCCAAGCCTAGCGCCGGCCCGGAGATGCTAGCGCCGGAAGCAGACCCGCCCCGTCGCATCGGGCCCGGGCCCTTGCCCCGGGATCGACCCTCAAGAAACCATAGTATAAATGCTTAGCCCAACCAAGTACTGAACGTATCCCATCACCTCCCATTTCCGAAATCCACAACACTCATTACAATCACAACAATCTCCTAAAGGGCCCCAGCCGAAAATGACAACCCTCCGACAGATCTTCCCCCCACCCCCAACCTTCACCGACCGCACCATCCCCGACCTCACCGGCAAAACCATCCTCATCACCGGCGCCACCTCGGGCGTGGGCTACCACGCCGCCAGCCTCCTGTACGCCAAGCACGCAACCGTGTACATCGCCGCGCGCTCCGCCGCGAAAGCCCGGGCCGCCATCGCCGCCATCCAGGCCTTGCCGGAGTGCACGCACAGCCGGGGCCGAATAGCGTTTCTCGCGTTAGATCTCGCCGAGTTGGGCGATATCAAGCGCAGCGTTGAGGAATTTCTGGGGAAGGAGGATCGGCTGGATGTGTTGGTTCATAATGCCGGGGTGATGACGCCGCCGGCGGGGAGTAAGACTGATCTCGTATGTTGGTTGGTTCTTATCCGGTTTTTCTTTCCTGGAAGGCGGAAGATGATGTGCTGATGTGATGTGATGGGGGTTGTTGCAGGGCCATGACCTCGAGATTAGCACGAATTGTCTCGGTCCCTTTCTGTTGAATCAGCTCCTTGTTCCGGTGTTGCAGCGCACGGCTGCTTCTGCGGAGCCGGGGAGTGTTCGTGTGGTCTGGGTGGCTTCGTTGCTCTCTGCGTTCGTTGTGCATGGGGGGATTGTCTTCGACGAGGAGACTGGCGCCCCTCAGGTGCTTAAGAATGCGATGGGGAATTATATGCAGAGTAAAGTCGGGAATGTGTTTTTAGCGAGTGAGATGGCGAGGCGGTTCGGTGGGGACGGGGTGATGAGCTTGGTTTGTTCCCTTCCTTTCCTTTTCATTTTCTACCCCGATTGGGGACGCAGAGAAGCTTGTACTGATGAGCACTCTAGAGTGTGAATCCCGGACTCATGAAGACGGAGCTCCAGCGGCATAATTCGCCGGCGCAGGGGAAGATTATGGTACGTTCTTTATATCGTTTTAAAGTGTTAAGGTGGAATGCGTGCTAATAGTAGCAGGGGGTTCTCTTCAAAGGCCCGCGGTACGGAGCGTACAGTGAGCTGTTTGCGGCGCTGTCGCCGGAGGTTACCCCCGAAAGAAACGGGGCATTTGTCATTCCATGGGGTAGGTTTGGGACGGTGCCGTGTCATATTGAGAAGGGTTTGGCCAGTGAGCGGGATGGGGGCACGGGGGCAGCGGAGAGGTTCTGGGGGTGGTGTGAGCGGGAGACGGCTGCTTTTCGCTGAGGAGCTTGTAGCTGTCTACCTGTATGAGTTCAAATACCCTAATTGTGTTCAATTTATTAACGAACGTATCTGTGTCAATTACTATCCTATGTCGATCACTGTATGCACGTACTCATGAGATAGTATAAGAAAGGCAAGCCTCGGCAATGGTTATCGCCCGATAAGCGCGGCAGTTCCAGGCATAGATGCGGCTAGCCCCGAAGTCTAACAAGTGGGGCCCCACATGCGGTCGGACCACGTTGCACGGAAAGGGGAGAGCACAACCATCCTATACTTAGTAACTTAAAATTGGTGCAAGCCCTGTGGGCCTGGACAAATTGGCATACATAAGCCCAGTAAGACCCGCAACAAACCTCTCAGCACTCAGATAAAACCTCGTACACATTCCATCACCACCAATGGACACACCAGACTACGAAGCCGAAAAGGCCAAGATGCTCCGCGGCGAGCTCTACCGCGCCTTCACCCCGGGCCTGATCGCCGCCCGCCACCGCTGCAAAGTCGCCGTGCATGCGTTCAACAACGCCGGGATCGTCTCGCGACGGCGGCAGGTGGAGTTGTGGAGAGCGTAAGCCTTTTGTATGCCCTGGCTTTTTCTTGGGAAACGGGTGCTAAGAATGTACCAGAATCCTAGAAGACGCCCGCCCCCTTCCACCGCCGGCCCCCACTCCAGAAGAAGACGAGGCGCTCTTCGAGCAGGAACCCTGGGTGGAAAGCCCCATCCGCATGGACTACGGGTTCAACGTGAGTGTCGGCGCGGGCACGTTCATCAACTTCAACTGCACGATCATCGACACCTGCCGCGTGGTGATCGGGGAGCGGTGTCTGTTCGGCCCGAATGTGAGTCTCTACACGGGACTGCATCCGCTGGACGGGGAGGTGCGGAATGGCACGGCCGGGCCGGAGTGGGGCAAGGAGATTCATATCGGCGATGATTGCTGGTTGGCCGGGGATGTGAAGATTCTGGCGGGAGTGACAGTTGGAAAAGGGTCGACGGTTGGGGCGGGGAGTGTGGTTACTAAGGTTAGCCAAATTGTGCTCTGTGGTAGTGGATGAGGTGATTGCTGACAATTGCTATAGGACGTACCGCCGTATTGTGTGGTAGTTGGCAATCCAGCGCGAGTGTTGAGGTATCTTAAGGGGAGCCCGCATTTCAGGGAGGAAGGAGCATCGGATTAATGGATTGGATCGAAGAGGTAGAGGATCCAAGGTGTTGGAGCCTAATTTTGGCCAGAATATTGGAAGCGGAGAAGTAGAGATTTGGACGACTAATAACATGAAAACACAGCAAAATAGCATGAACGGTGTACAATCAAGACCTGCTCACAGAATCATCAAAAAATGAAACCGAGAATGTTGCCCTAGCAAGCATAAATTCTTTTCAAAAAGGCAGTCAAGACACATCCGGCCAGCAACCCTCGCGAAGCTTGAGCGGGTCCGAGCCCACCCATCCGGAGCAGTAATTCCAAGGGCTTAGGTGATCCAAGCATTCGAGTCGATACGAAATCTCGTGCTGCTGGGCATCTGGGGGTGAGCGAAAGTACCGGATCACGGGGTCATTCCTACAAGAGACCCATTGCTCGATATACTGAGTCCTGCCATCTCGGCCGGCGTCGGGCACGGTCCTATGGGAATGCAGCTGCTCCACATGGATGTGGACGCTGTCCTTGACCGGGAACACGAGTCCATACAAGAAAGAATTGTAGGGATACTGGCTCAACCTGCCTATTTTACCAACAAGCCAAGTCGTATGGACTCGCGCCGCCCCGCCGCACAAGACGTACCACCCCTGATAGACGGGGTAGGTCACGAGCCCGTGCCCAGCGATCATCATGGCATCGCCCACGGGGACCCGCATTGGCCGGATGAGGCCGTCCCTGTTGAAATCCGCCCAGTAGGAATTGATGCGGGCTTTTCTCCCCATGTATTTGATCGCTAGATAGAGCCAAGCGTCTGATAGTCGCACCCCGGCCGGCGGCCAGCCGTGCACGTTTGGGTCCCAGGTGCCCCGGACCAATGGCCAGTTCGCCCAGTCGGCGGGTGTCGCGATCCTTCCTGACTGCCGGGCGGGTGGTGGCGGAGGGTTTGGGTCTCCCAGGGTCCAGTATGTTGTGGGTTCCTGGTGGTTGACGAGGAGCGCTCTGCAACGAGCCCGCATTCCTTCGAGCTCCTCCCAGTAGTTTCGCGACGGTTCGAAGAACCGGCCCAAGTCTAAGTCGATTTGCATGGTTCCGTTTCAAGACTGTTTGTTTAAAGTGGATTCGAGAGTGTCGAGTCGGTCGATTAGTGTAGACGGTTTGATTCCAGGAAGTACCCACGTAGAGATGGAACGACTTGGAGAACGGTATGGGTGAATCCTTTATAACCAACTGTTGTCAACAAGGCATCAAAGAAAGTGGATTCGGTCATGGGGATCTTCTGCTGTAGACAAACCTTCAAATGGAAACTACCAGGGTAAGAAAACCTTTGTTCAACAACTTCAAATCTTCGGTATTACTAGAGCTTTGCTCCGAAGTAAGTATATGGTCTGCATGGCTCCACAACGAAGAACATACAGCAGTTTAACTTGATGGCTTCAGAGCAAGTGTGCGTTTGTTCGTGTTTTCAGGTATGTCCGATAAGTTCAATCTTGAAGTCCTCAGTAATCGGCGGTGGATGGGAACGGTGACACTTAAGGAAGAAGTTTCACAAAGAAAGAAGAAATTTTGAGGAGTAGATAAAGCGTGTGGACTATCGCTTATAAATGGTGATTGGAGAAGTTGGCAGCTTCTGATCACATTCACTGTTAATCGCGTGGGGTGAAACATCAAGATACGGTACTTCATTAGTGATATATTCACTGAAGCGATCCGTGGAGAACAAGAAAGCAGAGATTAATTCAGATCATTGAGATACATAAACTTCTAGAACAGTAATTAGTGAATCAAGCGGCAGGATCTACCGATCCAGTTATACTTTTAAGTTCACTTGGTCATAAAACCTATCTAATATCATGCTGTAAGTGCATGCTCTTTAAAGATTTAGTTTGATTGATTATACGTATTGGTCCCTCAGCACATAGCACAACTAATATTCATTGGGGGTAATGATAGGACTTGATTTGTAAGGATCCATGCGTGGATCAAAGCTACAGCTGCCACCTCTTAGTTAGTATCTTAGTATATTTCACAACGTGTCGCACAGGAAGTAATTCCTTTATATCAGGGAATTTTATCCTGCTCCCCGGGCCAATGCGACATCAATGTAGTGTAGTTGCCACAGGCCGCATAATCGGATGAATAATCATGCATAAGTCAAGCATAAGTCTCCACATGGGAAGTCTTCTGTTCGGCTAGACTCTCTCCCTCTTTCTTCCACCGATCGATCTACAGTTCATCCACTCAATGAGCATTGACAAAAGTACTATATCGGCTCGACTCCATATTTCAAACGATATCAGAGCCTGATGATGAGATGTGCTACAAGACACAGCAATAGTCCATCCATTTCCAACAACTACCCAGCCATGGAGTTCGACACGTTGCCTCTTCAGCGCAGGAAGAGGCAATATCAACGATCCACTACCGGGTGTATAATGTGCCGCACCCGCAAGAAGAAATGTGACGAGCTGCATCCGATTTGCACTGGCTGTCAGCGCAACGGGTTAATCTGCGAATGGCCCTCCGCGGAGCGACCGCAACGCAAACCGCGCCGGTCACAGCACCACCAGCTGCCGCAGATGGGCTATGCCCTGCCACCGCATATCGAGGCGATGATCACCGTCTTTGCCGTTCCCAACGCCGACATGGCCAGTCGACTTCTGTCTCATTTCACCGACTACAGCCCTCGATGGCTCTCCACCCGTACAGGACGCCGCCGGTCGGAGTTCCTGAACCACCTGATTCCAGCGGCCATGGATAGTCCACTGATTCTGAAGTGCATTTTGACTGTCTCAGCGGCGGACCTGATCAAATATGATCCCTCCAATGTGGGGTTGAAGGGTGCGGCGGTGGAGTACTATGGCCAAGCGCTCGCGAGTCTCCGTGAGGCTATTGCTGATGAAGAGAGATCCGGCAGCAGCCCCTCTGGTAGGAGATGCACCCTGTCTTGATAACTCGAGACTAACATGTTGCAGACTACACCCTTTTAGCTGTACTACTCATCTGTCTCCACGAGGTCAGCATGTCCTCCTCAAACCAAGACCAAAGTCTAATGCATGCACCATAGATCCAAAATTTCACCTCCGTGCACCGCCTCCTCCCCCATCTCAACGCAGCAGCAGCCCTCTTTTCCCACAGACTAGACACTACCACCGCCCCGCCCAACTCCCAGCTCCGCCAGCTTCTGTCCGATCTATTTAGCTACTTCTTCGCCCTGACCACCTTCACCCACGGTCCCCATCTCGCCCTCCACCGGGGCTCCTCAATCCTCGAAACCTACCTCACCACGCCCCATCCGAAAGACACAGGCACAGGACCAGGGGCAATCCTCGGCACCGCCCAACAGATTTTCCTGATCATCTTTCGCGCCTCTCACCTCATTCAACTCGCCAAACAAACCCACACCCCGCTCACCGACGCCATGAAGACGAAACTCACCGCAATGGAGCGTCAGCTCCACGCCCTGCAAAACAAAACCCTGCCCCCCTTCAATCAGGGCTACACCGATGTCGAAGAACAAGGCGACGCCATCATGTCCGAGCTGTACCGACTGGCGTGTATCCTGTATCTGAAACGCACGATCGACCCTGCCCTTGGGATCAAAAGCCACACGATCCAAGTCCTCGTCACGGATTTTATTCGCTTGCTGGAACTGCTGCCGCCCCACCATCCGGTGAACTGTATTCTGTGCTGGCCGCTGGTCGTGGCGGGCCTGTGTACGACGCTGCATGCGCATCAGCGGGTGATCACGACGCGGCTGGGCCAGATCTATGGGGTGTGGACGTCGGATTTGGTGACGATGAGCATGGAGCTTTTGCGGCGGGTGCAGGCGGGTGGCGATGAGATGCATTCGAAGATAAAACCCCGTTTGTGTGGTTATGGGATGCATGATTTGCAGTTTGCGATGGTTTTGTTGTAGCTTTGGCGGTTGAGGGCAAGCTTTGGGAGTTTGGATTTCTGGTGGCTTGGTATGGTGGTGGGGTTGCTATCAAGGGAGTCGAGACAGTAATTGTTCAGTTGATGTTGCTGTGTTTACTGGGTCGTCCTGGTCACCAAGAACTAATGGGCTCAGTTACAGTTATTGAAGCCTGCGCACGGCATATTGATCTAGCTGCATAGCGATATACAAAGACTTAGTATAGTGTGTTCCTTGCATGTAGCTCACCGTCTGACCTTAGATCTGTCTAGTCAGAGTGTGCGGCAATATATGGATGCACCATTAACTAGGTAACGCATTCTACATAGAATGCATTTTTTGAGGTACATGCGCAGTAAACCAAGATATCGAACTGTTTCTATTCTAACTTCACTTTACCAATCACCTCTTGCATATACGACACACATAATGAGCAGCTACCGACCCAGTCATGAGAACAAAGAAGAAGCCTAACGGAGAAGAGATTCAACTTAATAAGCATATACTATAAAGACATAACAGGCACTTTTCTCTCCACCCCTGCAGCAGTCATTATCCATCGCCACGGTTGACAATGCTATAACCGCACAATCCAGAATTATAAATAAAGCACCTAAGCAAGAACCCCCTCAAAGCTTTTCAGGTAACATGCCACCGAACCCGGACAACACCACTTATAAAATGGCCCGCCCAACCAACATACCCAGGCTGCACGTCACCACCCCGCGAACCCCATCCCCAACTCCAGCATCAGAGACCAGCCCCTACAGCCTAGCAGCCACCATCCGCAACAAGTTGCGTCTCTCCGACCACACCACTCCGCGCCACTCAGCAAACGCAGCAGCCACCTCACCTGCAAACAGCCGCAGCGCAAACAGACGTCCCTCGCAGGATATAACCCAGCTGCGCCGGCCCCTGTCTCCGCTCCTCCCCAGCAGACAATCCTCCCACCCGTCCATCTCTCCGTGCTCAACCTGGACGGACGACTCCATACCTGAGCC